TGCAAGTGCCCACGGGTTGTTGTTCATGTCGAGTCTCGACGCCAGCAGGATAGGGAGGGAGGCTGATCATGCTTGCTGTTGTTGCAACCAGATGACTAGCATATACGAATACTGGTAGGCTTCAATTTAGCCTTTTGTAATCCATGCGGCTGCCTCTTTCCGTTCCCTCTTGCTGGATTCGTTTGATGTAACTTGCAGGCCACGTAAAAAGTCCCGGTAACTGGTACATCCATATATCCATACACGGACGCGCCTTGGCTTCCTATTTCTTCTCCGCACGGGACGATGACGTTCCCAGGGCTTGCCCCGATGTAACATCGGCAATATTAGTTAGTCCCATCCAGCCCATCCATGGCCACTGTTTTTGATGTAGATGAAGATGTACACTATTCTCCTGCGATGGTGCCTACTAGTAATAACAAGCAAGACGAGCGCACTGTTTTGTTGTTTCTCTTTTCTTGATTCTCTTTATCGTCTTCTCAGCTCTTTTACTCACGGCTTGTTTCACAGCAGAGCATGACTGGCATTGTACGAAATCACTGCCATCAAAGCTACATCCCAGTCAGTCGTGGCAAGCAAGCGACGCATTGACGCCTGGCAGTCCTTCCGTAACCTAGTTTTTTCAAGACTACTTTTTCTCACTCGTCCGAGAGTTGCTCAAAACGGCGGCGCTAGCTTTGAACAGTAGCTCAACGTAGTTGCTGAAACAAGTCACAACTCCCCCGAGCTCGCTTCGACAGCCCGCCAGCAAAAGCAAGGAGTGGCAGAGAGCATACGAGTCGGGACTTGTTGCCAGCACAACAGCAACAAGCAACATCTTCTATGGAGTCTCGAATCTCTCCGAAGCAGTGAGTAATTCTTCCTGAGTCCTGACGTGTATCATGCTCTACAAGAGAGAGTCAGGTTGCATTGCGGGAGTCAGCCAATCGAGTCAGTATCCTGTCCTTCCTTTGCTTTTCTCGATAACCTTCTCCCTGCCTTTTCCGGAGGTCCATCAACTCCCCCCCCCATCGAAATAGAAGACAAGTCGCATCTATAACACCCCTATACGCACACACCCCTGAGGGCACCGTCCGGGTCCCTGCAACGACGCGCTCCGGCATGATTCTCGGTGGCGGGGACGACGGGCCACAGCAAAGAACAAGCACAACCTGTACCGCCAAGAAAAGCTAACCCGGAGGGCGGACAGTCGGTATTTCCCTTCCCGGCCTCTCCAGAGCAGGATCCCGACCGACTGGCTGGATTTCTGTGAGAAGGTCCCCCCTCCTTCGTTTCCACGGACCGTTTCATGCAGGGGCCTGCCCACAGGGAAAAAAAAAAAACAGCAGATTCAAAGTCAAGAAAAAAGAAAAAAGCCAATCTCAGAACTAATACTGATTGACATGGCATGCACGGGGAAATTGCCTACAAAAAGGCGGGCTTTTTTTTTTAATCCCTTTGCCAATCTACATTGTCCAGACGGATCCCTGCAACAACGTTGGTCGGTCTGGGGCAGGATCAGCCATCGTACGAGAATGAGCAGAACCCTTGTCGCCGGCCTTTTTTTTTTCTCGCCTGTTAATTCTTTAAAGTATTATTTGCTTCCTTGTTCTCCCTCCCAAGCTCAGACCGCGAGAGAGAACCCTGGCCGCATACATATCCCGGCTTCTCCGCTACCCAACCGTTATCATGCACAGGTCAAACGTACCAAGACACAGCGCAACTTTTTTTTTTCTTTTTTCATCTTTCCCAAGGCTCTGGTGCGCAGTCTATTCTATTCCCGGGAGGTAAAATTTCCGACGACGTCCGGCTTCTGATACATACGTCAGCGTCTCGGCTCTCCAATCCGACATGATGGGGGACAACCTCACGTCCCATGTACCAGTACAATCTACCGTCGCCTTGGGCATCAATATTCGAGTTTCACATATACCAGATTTCTGCGCCTCCTCTCTGACGTCTGTATTACTGGCCAGTACTACCTACCTAGCCAGTGTACAGAACGCTCGCTGGCTTTGACTGCCGATTGGTTGACAGCTGTTGAAGAAACCTGCCTCGCAGCATCACCTCTGTTTGGCAACTACCCAGCAAGCACGGATAATTAATCAGTTATACTACCCTTGCGCTTGTACAACAGTGACGCGAAATCGGGCATTTACCCGGACTGAGTTTCACCTCTTTTTTGTAATAATAATTGACATCATAATTTCCATCAGCATCACTTGCCATTCACTGCGCACATCTACCAGTTTTTCGCGATGCTACGCTGCAAAAAAAGAGCAGTTTCAGATTTCGTCACTACACCCACCATCTTGTGCCCGGAAACGAATCCGTCCTTTAGTCACGGATCTATAATCAGTAGATCACCATGGCCAGAAACCGTAACGTTGGCTGCGAGAAGCGCTACCAGGTCCCAGCGATGACCGTTGGGGGCTTTCGCTTTCCTTTTCTTCTCCGTTTGTCTGCCTCGCCTCTCTCATCCTTGAAGAGCCGTCTGTGTCTGATCGCACATGAACCCGCTCATCCTGGGGGACCCGGACCCAAGCTGCCTTACACAGCAGTGTGTATTGCCGACCAGCAAGGTGGCCATGAAAAAATGCCACGAAAAATGCCAAAATAAAAATACATGCCTTGGTGCACCGCCCATGCCCTTGTCTCGGCAGTCTTCGTTTCTTGTCCCTTCGCTTGGATGAACCCTTGCAAATGCCCGTTTCATGTGACTGGAGGGAACACCGGACCGCGTCTCGCGCACGTACATTGCCCAACTTCACACAGACATACATACATATGCATGCGGTCCGGTTCCCATAGGGAGGCATCCGGCGGCGGTGGTGGCAAAGTGTACGGGATATCTTTCAAGATGATTCGCCTCTTTTCGCGCGGTCCCCCCCCCTCGGGCGTCGCTGCGCTCTGTGTCGTGCATGTCGTGAACTACCACCATTGTACCGGCCGGAGGGCGCGATTGTTGTTTTGTTTCTGCGGCCAATGTCTCAGTGATGAGATAATGGGAGGCTTTTTCTCGTAGAGCACCATTATGTCTCGTTTGTCATCTCCGAACGCGAAGCCACGAGCAGTTCAAGCCCGGTAGACGGCGTACAAACAACGTTCCAAATAGGTGACGCAAGAAATAAAACATCAATTCACAATTGAGGTCTGCGCACACACGAACCTATTCAGGTCCTAAGACCTGCGCCTCTTCCGGGTCGTGAGCCCCGGGCCTCCGTCGTCGACGCTACTCTCCTTCTCTCTCGTCCAACCCCTTCCTTAACTAGCCAGTTCCCAGATCCAAGGCCGTGAACATCACTACGACTACAGATTACTGGCTACCGCAGCCGGACAGGGGTTTACGAGACCGAGGTTGTCCCACCAAGGCACGACGTTGGAAACTCAGCCGATCGGGCTGAGCGTTCATGCTTGCTTGCCCTTCCCACCCGCAGCGCCACACTACCTCGCCGAAACGAAATATTGTGCGACGTGGAATAGTTCAGCTCCGATGGGACGTTTCTTTTTTATTTTGCTCTCTTTGCTCATATTTGAATTTCTGCATCGAAAACACACCACCCCCCGTACCAACTAACACATTCCTCCCTCACGTTCCGTGACAGGTGGCTGTCATGCAACCCTTTCTCCCGCGGACCAACCACCTGCGTGTCCCGCGAAGTCTCGTATCTGTGTCACAGGGGGCCACGCGAGCGTATTACCCTATTTGCCGAGAATACCAGAGAGAGAGAGAGAGAGAGAGACAGGAGAGGGTAACGAGGCGGTGCAATGTCATAATTTGCATGGGGGAGTATGCGGGTAAGTGAGTGAGTGAGTGTGTGTGTGTGTGTGTGCGTGTATGGGCTGTATGGGCTGCGTGCATGCAAACCCATCGTCATGTCCGCCAATAGTGGGTTGATGCAGCTGTAAAGTATAATCAAATGTTTTGTCCCTCCGAGACGAGGCGCGGCAACACAAAGGAGCAGGCACTGGTTATATCATACCTCCCGGTTCATAGTACCATGTACATGATTCGCATCCATTCCCATCTCCACCGCAGTATCATCAACATGGTCGTCCTTTCTCCGGTATCAGCCGTGAGTAGCAAGCTTGAGTGCTGTCAAAGCATCGTCATGCCTGATGCACTCACTCCAAGACTCACACTGCTCTCAGCTGTAGTTGTCGAGAAATGGCCCATACGACAACGCCTCCCAAGTCCACGTCATGTCATCCATTCAACTTACTTGCACGGCGAGGCTTTGCTGCGCATGTACGACTCATATCCTTGCCCACCCCTTACACCTGCAGCCGTTGAGCGCCCCATTATCCGCGAGTCACCCATATCTAATTACCCCAGCCTCTCTTGTTTTCCCTCTCGACTAGTTGGCTGGCCAGAAAAAAAAGGCTGTTTTCGGCAAGATCCGTCCGCCTCGACTTGTCGTCGTTTCATTCTGACATGGTGACCCCTAGAAAGCCTTATACATGGTCCTTTTATTAACAGGGAAACCCAACGGCGGGGAGGGGAGGGGAGGGGGGACAGCCAAATAATAATTGCCTTGCTCACATGGATCATGCATGGGACAGAGCGGATGGCGGAAACCCTTGCACCCATATTCCCGGAAGCTTCCGAGCAATACCGTGCCTCTTGAGAGAGGACCACAACGCGCTTTACCCTGCATGAACCAGTCGGCATTTTTCAGACGTGCAAAGCCATGAATTTGCCTGATGTACTGCAATGCCGACGAACAAGATGAATGCTAATTTGTTAGTACCTGACAAGATAAGGGAAACCCCGCTCAATAAAGGGACCAACCATGCACCCATGTATGGATAATATCCAAGTTAAATTCAATAAGAGAATAAAGTAGAAACCCATGTACAGAAGTCCAGGCAAATAAAAATCATCCGATCGCTATGACAAATCTTCACCGTCACGGGATAAAGCAAATAGAATAAACAAGACGAATGCATCCATCATACAAGCACATCAGCACCGTAACCCTGAAGCCCAGATGCTGACTCAGGTAAACAGCCGTGCAGCCTCACAGACGGCTTTCGATACCAGCAAAGTGGTTATCTCCGGCCCAGTGCGAGTATGGCCAGACGACCCGAATTGCCTCCCAGACGTGGCTAGAGAGATGACGCGTTAGTTGTTATACTCGATTTCATAACAAGTGGGCGCTGAGCTAGTGGGAGGGAGGAGCCCTGCATGTGCGCGCGAGTTGACTTACTTGACGTGGATGATTTCCAGGCCATCTTTGACTTCCTGTGGAAGATCCTTCGCTTCCTTCTTGTTCTGCGCAGGGAGAATGACCGTCTTAACGCCGGCACGTAGTGCACCAATGAGCTTCTCCTTGATACCACCCACAGCCGTCACGCGACCGCGAAGCGAAATCTCGCCCGTCATGGCCATTGTAGGAGGTACCGGCTTGCCGGAGAACAAAGAAATGAGCGCGATAGCCTGTCCAATGCCGCTGCTAGGCCCGTCTTTCGGAATGGCGCCCGCGGGACAATGGACGTGAATGCTGCGGTTCTTCATGATATCAGCAGAGGGCTCGTGAGTCAGGCCAAGCTCAAAGGCATGAGCCTTGACCCAGGTGAGGGCCACCTCAACGCTCTCCTTCAGAACAGTGCCCAGCTTGCCAGTCAGTTGAACAGTTCCTCTGCCCGGCATGTCGGCAATCTCAATGAAGAGAATGCTACCGTTGCCGCCAGTGCTGTATGCAACCAAGCCAGTGACAATACCAGGCCTGCTGGTTTTCTCTGCAATCTCTTCTTCGTACTTCTCAATGCCCAGAATATCTTCCAAATCTTCGACCGATAGCTCACGCTTATAGTGTTCAAGTCGACCAGCGTCTTTAGCCTCCGCATACTGCACAGCCTTTGACCGACAAACTGAACCAAGTTCGCGCTCAAGGTTGCGAACTCCCGCTTCACGGGTATATGATTCAATAACCTTGGACACAACATCCTCATTAAATATTACCTGATCCTGCGAGAGGCCGTTGGCCCGTATCTGCTTCGGAACAAGATGTTGCATCGCAATGTGTCGTTTCTCCAAGGTTGTGTAGCCTGGCAGATAAATCATTTCCATGCGGTCAAGTAGAGGCGCAGGAATAGTATCCAAATTGTTCGCAGTCGCAATAAAGAGGATCTTGGAAAGATCAATGGGCATTCCGACGTAATGATCCTGGAAGGTATTGTTCTGCTCAGGATCGAGAACCTCGAGCATGGCAGCTGAGGGATCACCATGGACACTAGCCATGCCAATCTTGTCGATTTCATCGAGAAGAAACACGGGATTGGCAACTCCAACTTTGCGCAGGCCTTGGACAATGAGGCCGGGCATAGCGGCGACATAGGTACGTCTGTGGCCACGAATCTCAGCCTCGTCGCGGACGCCGCCGAGAGAAATGCGGTGGAACTTGCGGCCAAGGGCAGTCGCAACTGATTTAGCCAGGCTGGTTTTTCCGACGCCGGGGGGTCCAATAAGCAGCATGATAGGAGACTTGTCCGTCATCTTCTGTGCCTTGATGGCCTGGAGTTGGGCAGCCTCAGCATCAGAGTGCTGGTGATCTTGCTCGGAGTTCAAGTCGTTTTGGTGAACCAGGGCTTGTTCTGAGCGGATCTTCTGTTCGACTTCGTCGTTGATGGATTGCTTGAGGCGAAGAACCGCAAGATATTCGATGAGTCGCTTCTTAACTTTTTCAAGCCCATAGTGATCATCGTCGAGCTGTTTTCGCGCACGCGTTAATGTGTCGGGGCCGAGTCTGTCATCCGTGACAGCGGCCCAGGGAATCTCCGACAGGGTCTCGAGCCAGTTGCGCGTGACCTGATACTCTTGATTCATGGGCATCATCTTCTGCAAGCGGCGGAGCTCTCTGTCCACTGCCTTAGCAACTTCTGCTGGAAGTTGGGCACTTTGGAGCTTCTTCTTGAGTTCATCAATCTCGCTGGCTTCTTGGTCCTCGTTGTCATTACCGCCCGGCATATTACCACCTGGGGGTGGTATGAATGACATGCCCGGCAGTTGCTGGGGAGAGTTGGGCCTGCGAACGGGATTTTCGCCGAGACGGTCAAGGATTTGGACGGGTACAGACGTAAATGTCGTGATCTTGAAGTTATTCTTGATGCCTCCAACCTGGCGTTCGAGGAGCTCAATGACCTTTGTAATTCTGACTTTGACATCGAGCGCGGCCAAGACCCCAAGTTTCTCCTCATGGCTGGCCTCGACGAGGTTGGCCATGAAATCAGCCAACAAGCCGGCCTCTTTAATCTCTCTTCGCATAATGAGTAGCTCGAGGCGTTTAGTGACGGTGGGGGATAGACTGGGACCAGCCTTGGTGCGTGGCAGCATCGAAGAAATTCGTAAGATTGTGATGAGTTCGCGGGATTGCGCCTTGAGCAAGGCAAAAAGGTCTTGAAGTTGCTTGTCGGCAATATCGGCTGCGAGAGCGTATGGATTAGTATGGTCTCAAGCTGCGAGGGTCATGTGCATGTGCTGAACACCTACTATCGTCGTTGAAGTATGTCACTTGGCCTTCAAAGTATGGTCGTTCCCGAGTAATGGCATCAATTCGAATGCGTGACGTTCCTTCGACGCGTAAGGCGAATTCCCCGGCTCCTCGGCCATCGATGCCGATAATCTTGGCAGCGACACCAAAGTGGTAGAGGTCGCCTTTCTTGGCCGAGCCAGGGTTGACGTCTTCGATGGCAGAGGGATCGACTTCCTCGCCATTGCTGATGAGGAGCTGGCCGTTGGGACCGACAAACGGCGAGTTGACGGGGACGCACGCGATGGGGACGCTGTCGATGCGACCGTCGGGGCCTTTAGAGGCTGCGCGTTCGTAGACATGTGCGAGAAGCGCAGCAACATCGGGACGGCTGGAGGTGACGGAGATTCTCTGGACCAAACCTGGCAACAGGATGGTGTCCCGAGGAAGTGGTATCAACGGTAGGCTCATCTTTTGCGCCTTACCCATGGCGGCGGTTGCAAAACGTTTGGTCAAGTGGCGAGTAGGCAGCGTCAATGGCAAGCCTGCGAGCGGAAGTAGGATGGAGCGCCGTCGGACACCGTAGAGGAGGGAAATAGTGAGCGCAGTTATACAGAAAATACAATAATGTAAGGCGAGGGTTGATATGGTTGTCGTCAGAGAGATTCGAGAAGTTGATGTCAGACGCAACGAAGGCGGAACCTGGGCTGCGGTCAGATGTCGGCTCTGATGAGTCGAGAGAGGTGTCAGTCAAGGCAAGGTGGGAGACAGCCGAAGGGGCCGATTCGGACTGGGAGGTACCAGAGTTATTAACCCAAAGTGGGCTGGTAGGCAAGTACCTCTTCGGCGAGCTGCGAGGCTTTGCTAGCGGGTTTGGGCGATTGTTAGTGCTCTGGAGGCAGCCTCCGGGGGTGGAGAATAGCACATCTACCGAGGCTACAACGTCAGGGCCGACGGAGGCAACAACGGCTACATACATACCTAGCTATATCGGTATTTCACTGATGGCATTCCAGCTTGGTGTTTCCATCGAGTCGGTTTAATATTTTGAAAAAATAGAAATAAAAAGAAATAAAAATACAATGTTCTCCCAAAAATCCGGAGTGTGTTCTGACGCCGGCCCACCGAAGCCTTCCAGCGCTAGCTGCATAGCCGAGTCACGTGCCGCACTTGCAATCGACATGTGCTTCACCTAGCTATCGTCCGTCAAACTACCAACCTGCCTACATAAACTATTCCAAGTCCGAAAACATTCCGGGATATTGATCAAAGCCCGTAGCGCATCGCAATGTTGACGTATTGTCCCCCACCCCCAGTATGCGCCTCGTACACACTCCCCGAGAAGCGGGGTACGCACAGCATCTGGCATCGTGCCGTCCACCGGAAATCGAACCTCAATTACTACCTGTCCTACCCTGGTACTTCGTGACAAGCCAGTGTTGGTGTATGCCGGCCTCCTTTTTATTATTCCGTGGGATACTGTATATGCATGGAATTTGGCATGGTCGCCGATTTCCCGTCAAAGTAAATGCTCAATCGATTGTGCCACAGCTCCCTATGCCATCTAACCGTGAAAGCTTTCAAATCGCCAAAGCCAAATTTAGCGGGGTAACATGCAGCTAACTACCTATCCAACACCGAATGCCGGCCGGAGTTTTCTTGCTCATAGTCCATCAAAAATTGAGCATTATGCTGTGACCTTGCACACGCCATACTGTGACTGGTTGTTTCCCAGTTGTGCATCTATATGCAGGGCGGTTGATCCTGACTAGTTAGCTACATAGCTGTTCGTGTTGGCGTACAGTGGTGGATGAGAGCTCCTCTTTCGAACATAGCTACTTCATGCTACTATGTGCTCGCTGCAGGATACTAGTAGAGTAATACTTATAAAGCAAGGGAAGCAAGAATCTCAAAGACCAGGGCAAATAAATGTCTAAGCATGTACTCACCGAGTACCCTCATTACTATGTAGTTACTGTATTTGCCCACCAGACCACAGCTTTACACAAGAAGGTATTCCGGACCCACATAGATTCTGCCGACAACGACCGCCCAAAAGTTTTTGAAAGCGCAATAGTTTTGCAGCTTTTGCCTGCTGGCGACCTAGTTTATTTTTCTGCTCGTCGAGAACCAGGCAAACTCATGTCATAAACCGCGCCGCAAGCGATTGCGGCCCCAATCACTCGCCTAGCATGAATATATCACAACCCGTCTCCTCCGAAGTTGAGTCGGTTGAGTTCACTTTCCTTTCGCCCACCGAAATCGAAGCCATCTCCGTCAAGCGCATCGAGAATGACAGTACATTCGATTCCATGCTCAATCCTGTCCCGGGCGGTCTTTATGATCCTGCTCTGGGCTCATGGGGCGACTCGCCGTAGGAGAAGATCTTGGAGGCAGTCTGTGTTCCCGCCTAGCTAACCATGATTTTTCCAACAGATGCACAACTTGCAACCTGAATCATACATACTGCCCCGGCCACCCCGGTCATATCAGACTACCCGTTCCTGTCTACCACCCTATCTTCCTAGACCAGGCCTACCATCTCCTCCGAGCTACATGCCTATACTGCAAGGGCTTTCGACTGCCTGCCAAAGAATTGCACAAGTACATGTGCAAACTCCAACTCCTACAACATGGCCTTGTACAAGAAGCTCATATTATTGATGCAATTGGCGAAAGCGGTCTTGCCGATGCCGATGATCTTGAGGCCTCCGTATCTGACGGCAGTGAAGCCGAAGACGACACCGGCTCCATTGACAATGTCACCCGCAAAAGACAAAAATACGTCGACCAATGCCTGCGCGGCAACAAGAAAACAATGCGTGATATTAAGAAAGGCAAGCATGAAGGGGCCGGGCAGATGCGTCGCGAGGTCATCAAGGAATTTCTCGCCGAGGTCACGAAGAGGCGTGAATGCGCCAGTTGCAATGGCATCTCTCCAACTTACCGCAAGGACGCATTTGTGAAGATTTTCGAAAAAGGGCTTTCCGGCAAGGAACAGACCAAAATGGTGCTGCGTGGCCTCAAATTCGCCGATGCTATGTCTCAAGTACAAGAGAAGACTGTGGCCAAAGAGGATCAGCAAAATGGAGTTACTCAGGACTCTAGCGAAGATGAATCTGAATCAGACGAAGATGTATCGATGCCAGATGTCGACGAAGAAGAGCCCTCGGCCACAAAATCCAGTCGCCCTGAAACCCGGCAAAGATACATTAGCCCCCTAGAAGTCCGCGCTCGTCTGGTCGAGCTCTTCAACAAGGAGCAGGACATCATTTCGTTCCTCTATAACGCCAAGCCAGCCACCAGGAAAACCCCGAAAACGACGCCAGATATGTTCTTCATCACAATGCTACTTGTCCCACCGAATCGATTCCGCCCCGAGGCTCGCATGGGTGACTCGGAAATATCAGAAGCGTCGCAAAACAGCCTGTACAAAAACATTTTGCGCTGCAATAGCAAAATTGCTCAATTTCACAACAACGTGCAAAAGGGCAACTCTCACATTACAGCGGTGCATCTTGCGTGGGTCGAGCTGCAAGAATCAGTCAATGCGCTTATTGATAAGAACAAAAATCCCATCCAGGGGGCAGCTGCCAAGCGCAACGAGGACGGCATCAAACAGAAGCTTGAGAAGAAGGAGGGCTTGTTCCGAAAGAATATGATGGGAAAGCGAGTTAATTTTGCTGCGCGAAGTGTAATCTCGCCGGATCCCAACATTGATACGAACGAGATTGGCGTTCCTCCTGTGTTCGCTCAAAAGTTGACTTATCCTGAACCCGTTACGAGTCACAACTTCAGAGATATGCAACAAGCTGTCATCAACGGCGCTAATAAATGGCCAGGCGCCATTGCGATCGAGGATGAGAACGGCCAAATTGTCAATCTTCGCAACAAGTCGGTAGATGATCGCATCTCTTTGGCAAACCAACTCCTTGCCCCCACGCATGCAAATGCCCCCAAGATCAAGAACAAAAAGGTTCATCGCCACATGACGAACGGTGATGTCGTTTTAATGAACCGTCAACCAACATTGCATAAGCCGTCCATCATGGGACATCGTGTTCGAGTTTTGCCTGGTGAAAAGACTATTCGCATGCACTACGCCAACTGTAACACCTACAACGCCGATTTCGACGGTGATGAGATGAACATGCATTTCCCACAGAACGAGCTTGCGCGCGCAGAGGCTCTTCAGATTGCTGACACCGATCACCAATACCTCTCCGGAACCCAAGGAAAGCCCCTTCGAGGCCTCATTCAGGACCATCTTTCAGTCTCGATTGCCTTGTGCAACCGTGATACCTTCTTTAGCAAAGGAGACTACCATTCTCTAATCTATAGTGCCCTACGACCAGAGAGTGGACACATTCTTTCAGAGCGTCTTCAGCTTGTACCGCCGGCTATCATCAAGCCTGCTCCCAGATGGACCGGGAAGCAAATTATTACCACGATATTGAAGAACCTCAAGCCTGCTAATTGCAGCGGTCTGACAATGCATGGAAGTACTCAACTGAAAGCGGAACAATGGGGACCCAATTCCGAAGAAGGTGTTGTGCGTGTGCAAGATGGCGAATTGATTACTGGAATCCTTGACAAGTCGCAAATTGGACAAAGTTCCGGCGGTATTGTTCACGCCGCGCATGAGGTTTACGGCTCGGCTATCGCCAGCAAGTTGTTGAGCTGCTTGGGTCGACTGCTGACGAGATTGCTGAACATGCGCGCTTTCTCTTGTGGTATGGATGACCTGCGACTCACAGAGGCCGGCGAGAAGGCTCGCTTGCAAGCCCTGGAGCAGGCTAGCGAAATGGGTCTCGAGATCGCATCGGAATACGTCTCGTTACCTGGTAACAAGGATCCCACCAACAAACTTTTGCTTGAACGTCTCGAGGAAGTCTTGCGCGAAGACAAGAATCAAGAAAGCCTCGATTTGTTGATGAATCAGGGAACAAAGGACATCACTGACAGTGTCCAAAAGGCTTGCCTGCCTAAATTAGAAAAGCCATTCCCGAAGAACCAAATGCAAGCCATGACTACCTCCGGTGCCAAGGGCTCCCGAGTCAACGCCTCCCTTATCTCTTGCAACTTGGGCCAGCAAGTTTTAGAAGGCAGACGTGTTCCGTTGATGGTTAGTGGAAAGACTCTACCTTGTTTCAAACCATTCGAGACAAACATCGGGTCCGCTGGCTATATCCGCAGCCGATTCCTTACTGGTATTCGTCCTCATGAGTACTATTTCCATCACATGGCTGGTCGCGAAGGTCTTATCGATACAGCCGTCAAAACGTCGCGCTCCGGCTACTTACAAAGATGTGTCATCAAGGGTCTGGAGGGTCTCATGGTTTCCTACGATGCCTCAGTGCGCGACGCGGATGGCTCCGTGATACAGTTCCTCTATGGCGAGGATGGGCTCGACGTCACGAAGCAGAAGTATTTGAAAGATTTTGACTTCATTCTCGAGAATGTTGCTTCGGAACTTGTGCAGCTGAAGTATGACACTAAGGTTGTTGAGACGCTCACTTCCAAACGAGACGTTTTCATGAAGTATATGAAGAGCGCTGTCAAACGCGCCAAGTCGGACAGTACAGCTGCTAAGGATCCCTTGATCGGTTCCTATAACCCCACTACCAACACCTTTGCAATGTCCGAGCTTTTCTACGAAGCTATGTCGGCATACGTCAAAGAAAACAAGAGCGGTCTTATCCGAGAAAAGAGCAGCGAGAAGCAGACGCGGAGCGCCGTCGCCCTCTCTCGCAAAAACGCCGAAACACTCTTTGCTCTCAAGTACCAACGCTCTCTTGTCGAACCAGGCGAGGCGGTTGGTATCGTTGCTGGCCAGTCTGTCGGCGAACCTTCGACTCAAATGACACTGAATACCTTCCACTTGGCTGGCCACGCAGCCAAGAACGTGACACAGGGTATTCCTCGACTTCGAGAAATTCTCATGACCGCCTCTGCTGTTATTTCTACGCCTTCAATGACCCTTTATCCCCGTTCAGACATCTCGCCCGACCAGGCGGAGGTTTTCACAAAGAAGATTAGCCACACACCACTTGGTTACATCATGGACAGCCTCATGGTCGAAGAGCGAGTAGGACGTGGCAAAATCCACCATCAAGCCAAGGTCTACAAGATTGCCATGAAGTTCTTCCCGTCTGCTGAATACTGCGAAACATATGCCATTACGGTTGCGGACGTTATGAATGCGGTTGAGCGGAAACTCTTGCGCCAGATCATAATCTTGATGAAGAAGGAGATCAAAAAACGCGGAGGCCCAAGCGCCGCAGCCACACCAGAAATCGGTGTTCGATCTGGCGTCGTGGAGGTGGCATCAGCATCTGCAAATACGCAGAGTCGGGGTGATGACGATGATGATGATGATGACGGCGGCGACGGCGATGCTACCAGCGCCAAGCAACGAGCGAACCGCGGAGAGGAGGTGTCGTACGGCGACAATGATGATGAGGAGAACGCAATCCAGAAGGCCATGGGGAAGGACGCCGCGGACGAGAGCGAGGATGAGGAGATGAATGGCGTATCAAACGGTGTGTCTGCAGGCGATGACGACGAGGATGAGGATGAGAGCGAAGAAGATGATGTTCAGCCTACAACCTCTGCCCGAGCCGAGCGCATCAAAAATGCTTTTCAAGAGATATCTGACTTCGAATGCGACGAAAAGAGCGGAGCGTGGTGCAAAATCACAATCGAGCTTGACTCGGACTCCCCCAAGTTTTTGATGCTGAATTTGGTCAAGACTGCTATTGCCAAGACTATGATTCGGGAGATTAGAGGCATCGGCTCCTGCACATTCATCGAAGGCGAAATTCAGGCATCAGGAGTCAATCTACGCGCGATGCAGACGTTCTCCGAATATATCGACCCCGACAGGATCCGAACGAACGATGTCGCAGCAGTTCTAGATATGTACGGCGTCGAGGCGTGTAGAGCAAGTATTGTACGAGAACTGGACGGTGTCTTTGGTGGTCACGGTATTTCTGTGGACAACCGCCACTTGAACCTCATTGCGGACTACATGACGAGAAACGGAGCATTTACCGCTTTCAGCCGTATGGGTCTAAAGGGTAATGTTAGTCCCTTTACGAAGATGAGTTTCGAGACGACATTGGCGTTCCTCAAGGACGCCGTGTTGGATGGTGACTGGGATGATTTGACGACGCCTAGTGGCCGGTTGGTGTTGGGCCGTCTGGGCAAGTTGGGAACTGGCAGTTTTGATGTTTTGACGAGAATGCCTACGCATCACGTCGAGTCTTGAGCATATAGCTTTGTTTTTATGTAGATATAAAAATATGTGTTTGTATTTGGATTGCATACAGTCAGTATTCACGAGCTAGGAAAATCTGTGACGAATTTCGCAGTGGCAAAGTGGCCGTGTTCACGGTTGATCTTTGACCCCACTCAGCCGCGGGGCAACCAGCAACGACGCGTGCATTTTTGGTGGGAGAAACCATTAAACTTGGCCACCCAAAAGCGCGCCACAACGCGTCTCCCTCTGACAAGGTCGTCCTCATACAACCCATTCACAGCCCATAATGTGTACGATATTCCCAAAATCTGTCCCAAAGCAAGACTTTGTGCAGTATTAACAGCATTATTATTTTAGCAACATACGCGGGATTCTCAAAAACGGGATACGGAGCACAGGGAGCCGATGATTCGGGCGGCTTCATGGCCGATGGCTCCCAGCAAGGTAGCCAGAGCGGCGGCAAGGTGCGTATCACGGGATATTGTACCTGTCGATGTTTTTTTATAACGAGACGGTGATGTGAGCGGCCAGGAAAAGCGAGAATCATGCTGACCGCCAGCTTCCCAGGCCTACCAAGACGAATCGCTGCGACCGGTAACCGTGAAGCAAATCATCGAAGCCGAGGAGGGATACTCAGGGGGCGACTTCAAGATTGACGGCGCCTCGGCGCCACAGGTCACGTTCGTCGGGCAGATCCGCAGCGTCAACGCGCAGGCGACCAACATCACGCTCAAGATCGACGACGGCACCGGCCAGGTCGAGGTCAAGAAGTGGATCGACGGCGACAAGCCCGAGGACGCCAACGCCTACGAGCTGGACTCGCACGTTCGCGTCTGGGGCCGCCTCAAGTCCTTCTCCAACAAGCGTCACGTCGGGGCGCACGTCATCCGCCCCGTCGCCGACTTCAACGAGGTCAACTACCACATGCTCGAGGCGACGTACGTGCACCTCTTCTTCACCCGCGGGCCCCTCGGCGGCGCCGGCGGCGGGCAGCAGAACGGCGGCGCTGGTGGTGCCAACGGCGACTCCATGTTCGTCGACGGCGGTGCGGGCTACGACGGCGGCGCCAGCCAGAACGCGAGCAAGCTGACGCGGTGCACGCCGGGCGCCAAGAAGATGTTCAACTTTTTGAGCTCGGCGCCGGGCAGCAACGAGGGCGTGGACATCAACATCGTCACCAGCTCGACGGGCATGTCAACGCGCGACGTGCTTACGGCGGCGGACGAGCTGCTCGGCCAGGGCCTGATTTACACGACGCTCAACGACGAGACGTGGGCGATTCTGGAATACTAGACCGTCCGGTTGGGTGTGTTCGATGCTGGAGAAGGGGGAAGGGCTGGTGGACAAGAATACTTGTACAGAATACGTGGTGTTTCGGATATAGGTTGAATTTTGTCGCATTGGAATGACGCAACGATGTTTTTCTTGATTTTGGACCAGTACTTTGACAATTGGCGTATACTACTAACCGAGTGAAAGATTGAACTGCTGCGTGCCTTGCTATGTATGTACCTGCGTCTGGGCGATGCGGCTCCCGTCTACGTCCACCTTAGGGGCAGGCTTCGCAGGGCACCACCATTCGACCGCGGCTCTGCCATTGGCATCTAATAGAACCCTCGATATTACCCCAGTGTATCACTTCTGCACTCTACAAGCTAGAAGCTACCTATGTTTGGTGCAACTGTTTGAATGTTGGCGAAGCGGGGCGTAGCCAAAGCTGGGTAGTTACGAATTATTAGTGGCACATACACCAAATGAGGCCGAGCCGCCTCCACATCTAGCGAGGCCTGGCCAGCTCGTACAGTGACGTTGGCGCCAGCCTCCCGCTGCGACCTTTTGCCTTTCGCCGCCTCAACATACAATCTGAGCTACTCTCCCTCCTTCGCCCCGCCGACCGCTTATCCCCTCACAGGGTGCATTAAATCTCAGCTTCTCCGAGAAGCTACACCGAAGCTCCTTGTCACCCGCTTCGACGCCTCTCTGCCCCCGCGCCAGCCGCCCTCCGCCGCCCTCCCCGAGCCCCCGTGGGCCCGCCTTGCCACCCAAGCCCTCGCTCACCCAAGGCCTTTACCACCATGGCGCCCAAGATCGAGGCCCAGGAGATTGAGACCTACTGGAACATCTTTTGCGACCGCACAGGTGGCGGCAAGTACCTCACCGGCGAGCAGGCAGCGCCCGTCCTCAAGAACTCGGGACTTCGAGATGACCAACTGGAACGCATTTGGGACCTGGCCGACGTGGACAACGATGGCAACCTAGACTTTGAGGAGTTTTGCGTGGCGATGCGCCTCATCTTTGACGTGCTGAATGGCGTAAGTCCTCAACTGACCCTATCTCAAAAGCCCCCATACGAGGAACCCCATACGCTAACGTGATCTCAACTGCCATCTAGGAGTACCAAGACGTCCCCAAGACTTTGCCTGACTGGCTGGTCCCCGAGTCCAAGGCTCATCTTGTCCAGGCGACACGTGCCATTAGTGGCAACCAACCCCATTTCGAACAAGTTGAGGATGATGACGACGAGTCCGCTGGCCTCAAGGACGGCTTTGACTGGTATATGAAGCCTGAAGACAAGGCCAAGTATGAGCAAATCTACCAGGAGTCGCGTGATATGCGCGGTGAAGTGGACTGTAAGCATTCTTCTCTTACATGCTTTCTTCATGTTTTGTTTTATTCAGATCATTCTAACTAACATCTACCAGTCCATGCCCTCGGAGACTTGTATGAGTCGCTTGACGTACCCGACACCGACATTCGATCCGCGTGGAACCTCGTCAACCCTTCGGCTAAAGAGACTATCAATAAGGATGCCTGCCTTGCCTTCCTGCACATTCTCAACAACCGCCACGACGGATTCCGCATCCCGCGCACGATCCCGGCGTCGCTGCGCTCCAGCTTCGAGCGCAACCAGATCGACTACCAGGTCGACAACCAACGAAACACGGGCGCCAACTCGCGATGGGCGACCAAGGCTGACGACTCGACGAGCACGGGCCGCAAGACCAAGTTTGGCGAGCAGTACCTGACGCGTCTGGGCCGCAGCGGCTTCAAGACGGCCGGCACGGACTTTTCAACGGAGAAGACAGAGGACTGGGAGGAAGTGCGACTCAAGCGCAAGCTCGCGGATCTCGAGGAGAAGATGCGCAAGGTGGAGGAGATTGCCGAGCGCAAAAAGGGCGGCGCGCGCGACTCCAAGCCCGCGCTCGTCAAGAAGGAGCTCGATCAACTCCTCGACTACAAGCGCCGGGAGCTACGCGAACTCGAGGAGGGTACAGGCAAGAGTGCCGAGGGCTCCGGGCTCAAGAGCATCTCGGAAGACCTGCAAACGGTTCGCGAGCAGGTCGATGGTCTGGAGACGCATCTAAGATCAAGGGAGCAGGCGCTGGATCAGATACGGCAGGAGATTGAGGCCGAAAAGGGTCGATAGAACAGAGGGGGTTTGCAGTAGGGTGGCGGTAGGGGGGTTAGAGGGTATATACGCTGTCGGACAAGCCTGGAGAGCGGCGCGTGCCCTTTATAATAACACATTCATCATACATTTAATATTGGTCGTTCTATCATTCATTTCTTACACAAAGGATTCAGGCGCTGATGGTCACCACATGGAACCATCAACGAACTTAGGGGTTCTTTCAACGGCAAGCGTACGCGACTTGGCAATCCACACGGCGAAAGACGGTATCGGCAGGCAGCGGTAGCGTCCAACTCCGCTGGAGCGGCCCGTAGAGTAGAGAACTATATCCATGATTCCCCCTCGGCGTTGCAACTCCTTGTTAGAGAAGGCATTCGCAATGTTGTCGGCCACGCAGCTTGCCTAGCATATTCGTTAGCGGGGGTCTTGAATACCCACGGGCACGCGGAACAAGACATTCGGAGGGTTCTGAAAAAATACCTGGGCCTCCGTCATGAGGAATCCGGAGCGTTTTTCGCCGACGACGTCGCCGACAGCCCAGACGTTGTCCTCGCCTGACACGCGCATGAACTCGTCAGCGCGGACGTACCCCCTGCCGTCCAGCAGCGCGCCGGGGAGGCACTCCGTGTTGGGCGTCACGCCCACCGTCGGGAGGTACAAGTCCGTTACGAGCGTCGTACCGTCGGAAAGCGTGACCTCTGTCCGGCCGCTGCCCGCAATCTCGCGCGTGTCGACCGCGCGCACGCCCAAGCGCACGTCGACGCCCATGCCCTTGAGCGCGCGCTCCAGAGCCGGCGCGGCCACCGGGTCGCCGCCGACGAGCGCCTCGCCGCCGGCCAGCAGCACCACGCGCTTGTCCGGGTACGCCCCGCGCAGCTCTCCGCAGACCTCGACGCCGGTGGCGCCGCCGCCGGCGACGACGACGTCCGCGGCGACGCGCACGCGCGCGCTCACCTCGCGCAGGCTGGCCACCAGCGCATCGTGCGAGCCCCCGGCCTTCCACGGCATGCCGGGGGTGGCGGCGCGCGAGCCCGTGGCGACGACGAGGTGGTCGTAGGGCACGGCGAGGGGCGCCGCGTCGGTGGCGGCGAGGTCGACGTGCACGAGGCGCGCGGCGAGGTCGACGGAGCGCGCGGTGCCGAGGACGAACTCGGCGGCGGACGGGTGCGCGGGCCGGTTGTACTGCGCGAGGCCGGGGCCGATGGGCTGCAGCACCTCTTCGTCCTCAAGGGCGTCGGGGATGATGGCCCGCACGGAGGCGATGTTCCAGTAAAAGTGGCTGTTCTGGAGGCATATGATTAGCTCGTTTTGAGTTTTGCAACGCACGGGATTTTCGGTGCAAGGTAAAACTGCCTGCTACTGACCTGGGATATGATGATGACCTTGAGGTCCTCGTGGCGAGGTAGGGTATGCTTCAGCAGTCGGTGGGCGACGCCGAGGCCGCCGATGGAGCCGCCAACGATCACTACCGTCTTACCAGTCATGATGATGAAGGTCTTGCTCTCTCATACACGGGCGCGCTGGAAGAAGAAAAGAAGAAGAAAAGGTGCGGGTTTGACGGATTCGATGACGCGACGGGAACGCAGCAATATGTAGCATTGTTTCAGTCGGCGGCGGAGGGCGGAACGAGCCGAGCGCGGTCTCCGAATCGGCCTGATTACCGCCGTTTACGCGGGAAAGTTGCTCCTCTCAGCTGGCCATTCGGCATAATGATAAAAAAAAAGGGACGGAGAATCAATCCGACAACCTTGGGAGGTTGAGCTGCAAGGAGCAGCGCCTGGATGTGGCTGCTAAATTGTGGCGCAGGCCAGGCAGCGATAACTGGTCTTCCACGGCGTGTTACAGATGGCTCAACGCTGAAACTGCGGATGCCACTTTGCACTTGTTTCGACATTATTTTTAGCGTCGAATCAGAGCCGTGCAGGTTGGGTGGTGAGGTCATGTGAAAATGGTGTGTTATACTGCAGGTGACGCACTCGCATGACATCAGATGGGAAAAAGGCCCCGTCAGATGCGTGGCCACAACTCAGGAAAGACGAGTTAAATGGGCAAAGAAATTATGTTAGCCAAATTACTAATAATTGCGTATATACCTGTACCATGCGAGCAATTAAAATTCCCTAATGTAATCCAATGTATTAGCTATGCTCTGTAATAGTCATGTTATGTACTTCCTAGCAACACATGATACAAACCTCGTCCTTTCTATTTTCTCTTATTACACACTCAACAGATATGTCATCGGTACCTTGGGGTTTCTCATCTAAAAAAAACCCCGCCTTTATCCTATTCTCACTATTCGGGGGCCGTAGGTGAAGCGGTTCCGCTAGAGGCTTTCCAGGAACAGCTGGTAATCGTCATAGTCGCTGATTTGCGAGGCATACGCGCCATCTCGTCGCAGTCCTTGTTTAATTTTCTAATTAAATGCGGCGACGAGCGCTTTAGCGAAACCTGCCAATATAGCATGTCAAACAATATTTATGTATATCCATAGGGTCTACAATTTGGGGCAGTTGCCGGACTGCACCATAGCCCCGCAAGCTTTTGCCCAGCCACAGCTCCCCCTCCTTCGCCTTTCTCTGACCTCGTGAGCCCCTCCAAGAGCTAATCCAACTTGTCCTCTCTCAAACAACATTTTCTCCCCCAAAACTCCCCGTCAAACACAAATCAATTTTCGCCATGTCTGCCGCTTTCAACAAGGCCGCCGAGGACTCCAAGCAGCTGACGGCCAAGCCCAGCAACGATGAGCTCCTCGAGCTCTACGGTTCGTCACACCCGGCACCCAAGTCTACCCCGCCTCCCCCCTATCTCCTTGCCTGCGCAGAAGCTGACAATTTGGAATCTCGTAGGCCTCTACAAGGTCGGCAACGGCGAGGACATCTCCAGCACCCCTGCCCCCGGCATGTTCGACATGAAGGCAAGTTTACATTATCATTGACCTCTCTCCCCCCCCCGGCGGCGTGCGACTTCGAGCTCTCACTCTCTACGAACGACGCGATGACTGGGTGCGGCCGCCGACGTGTTTTATCCTGTCTAATTACTCTCTCCCGATTTGCTCGTACATTTTCCGAGAATATTTCTTTTCTAATCGTTATTTGCGGGGAAACAACAGGGCAAGGCCAAGAAGAACGCCTGGCAAAAGGTCATCGACGAGGGCATCTCGGCCGAGCAGGCCCAGGAGCGCTACGTCGCCCTCGTCGAGCAGCTCAAGGCCAAGTACGGCTTCGACGAGAACAAGGTCCCCGAGGCCGTCGGTAACTAAAAGGCGGCCCCGCCCCGACGAGACTGACAACCCCCCCCCCGGCGGGCGAGGACGAACAACCAAACAGTAAATAGCGTGGAAGTGAAGGAAGTGCGATCAGTTGGTAGCACGGGTGTACAGCTTTAGACATGTGTCCCTGTATCTTCATTCTGGGCCCATCTCAATAGAATGTTTCTTTCTCTTCTTCAAGCTGTTTGCCTATTGGTGTGAAAGCATTTGGTCGCTGCGAGCTAAGCTGGTTGATCGAGGCCGTCAGGAAACTCGGCTCACCACAGGTGGTCCAGATACCGGTTGACATGTTTGATTCGATAACCCGTTGCCGGCGGCGAGCAGGCACGGTTTCGTCTTGTGCAGAGTCGGCGTAGGGTGGACGGACGGCTATTCATCACCGCTTCCACACGCCGTCGTCAACCAACATCAGCGAAATACCTCGCTAGGTCTTTTCGGCTAGGCCAATGATTTTCTCATGTTTTGTCGTGGATTGTCTGTTGTTTTTAGCGTGCCTACATCCTGAGTAGCTGGTGTGGCTTGTAGATGCTCTTGCGTCGTGAATTCCCCGCGCACTTGTTGATATATGACAAGTCGTCATCTACAAAGGCATCCGAGGCTCAGGAACTTGCCGAAAAAAAAGGTCTGTTCTCGTCATCGTCTGAGACGCGAGACAGACTACCAAGGTTTCCACAGCAGCGAATGGTCAAAAATCAAGTTTGCCTACAAGACCTTCACACTGCAGGAAGAGTGTTCTAGGCCATGGCAATGAACGTGAGATGTCTTGCTGAACAGATGGATTGTACTAGCCTGGCCCAACAGCGGGATCACTTCCGCAGAGCCTCGAAAAGAAACATGCCGAGAAACGTGTAAAACTATTGTCCTCGAATTCGGCGGGTTAAGACCAGGCGGCCGTAGTCTGGTCGCGACATTCCGCGATGAGATTCAGGCGAACGTAAGAAAAATCGACTTAACGGAAGCTGGCATTAACACGCGGGGAAACGCATGACTTGGCGTGTGTCTATGAGGGGGGCGTGTGTCGATTTTTTAAGCTTTTTCTTGAGCTGCCGCCCTCGTATCGGGTGGAGAGATCGCGCAGCATTCCAGTCGTCTGGTGGTAGCGATCGGTTTGTTTTGCTCCAAATCTACCCATTTTGGATAACTGGAATGTTAAATGCGGTCTGGAAAAGGAAGTACGTTTACATTGAAGAGACGAAAAGAATAACAACAGCGGTCGTTTTGGTGATGTCGAGGCCTGTTGGTCGGCGCTGGGTGGCGCTGGGTGTGCCCGTTCGCTGTGGCTGAATGGCTTTTTTATGGGTGTAATGGAAAAAGAGGAGACGGGAAAGAATATGTCGGTCATTTATTTCTCGGTTTCGACAAGGCTGCTGGCAGTTTGTGTGGTCCTGATGAGCTGGGATATGGGGAGATGAATTGGAGAAGAGAGTGGCTGAGCAGAGGCCACATGCACGATTCAAGCATGGATCTTGGGCCTGGATCGGATCGAGCAAACTGGAGATTTCATCACAGGGATATGAAGATAGACTGGGTCAACAGAGCTGAATGGATTCGCCGACGCTGGGAAGCTATCTCTCCTTCGAAACGGTGCAGATTATGAGAGCGCCCTGCACTCTTGTCACGACTACCCCGAGGAAAGCAAGGGTAGGACAACCAAATGAAAGCAACGTATTTGTCTTTGGAGGCTAAATATACGGATGTCGAGCGTCCACATTCACACTCGACGCCTCCACCTTTCCTAAATCTGCCTTTACATCCTCCAAAAATGCACAATCCTTCCATATTCGTCTAGAATAGAAAAAAGATGAACTAAAAGGGGATACACCAAACCGTGCAACTCCGGTAAAAGAGTCGCTAAATAGAAGGGGAATCATCGCACCTAAACAAAAACGAAAAACCAAAGTCCATAAATGGAAGAAGCGAAGAAAAAAAGAACAACACCCAGCACCTGGTCAACTCTTGAAAGTCAGATGGCCACGCCTTGCAGTGATTCAGCTGCGCTGTGTTTGTCATGAAACTCGTAAACCTGTGGTTGCGCTGAGCACGAGATCGTGCCGAAAACCACCAGGGGAATCAACGCCTCCACATGTCGCGGAGCTCTTTATTCCCCTTGTTCGGAGGGGGGACCGACGTTCCATTTACAGGAGAGCAATGGCACCGGCAGCGACCAGGAGTAGGGCGCTGAAGCTGGTGGCCGCGGCAGCGTTGGTACCGGGAGGGACAACGGCAGGGCTGGTGTGAGCGCCGGTGGGGATGACGGGGAGGGTGACGGTGCTGTTGTGGCCGGGGTAGACGGGGTGGCCGGTGCCCGAGGCGGAGGGGCAGATGGTGGTGGTCAGGTCAAGGGTCTTGGTGACGACAGCCGGGGTGGTCGTTACGGCGGTCGTGGTGTTCTTGGCGGGAGTGGGAGTGGGAGTGGGAGTCGGCGTGGGCTTGGGAGTAGGGGTAGCCGACTCAAGACCGCCAGAGACGCTGTAAGCGGCGGCGCAAGCAGCCAGGTCCATGCTGTTAGGGCAGCACCAGGTCTGGGCCTTGTGGTCGTGGGTGCAGTAGTAGCCCTCATCGCAAGAGTCTGTTCGTACAAGTTAGCCATAGCCGCCGAGGTGGGATAATCGACGTGGCACGCGATCGATGTCCGATCTGTGTACCCGTTCGCGGTGTCTTCACGTACTACCGGAGCCGTCCTGGCAGCAGCTCTGCTTGGCGCCGGGGTTGAAGCAGTGTGAGACGCCGTCGTTGGAGGGGCAGTCGGCGAAGCCAGCACCGCAGGCCTCGGCGCAGGTGTTGCCGGCACCGCACTTGGTGGTCTCCGGGTTGTAGCCGCTGGTATCGCGACGCATGAGGCTCAGGCCGGGCATGACAGCGAGGCGGTACGGCTGAGCCTCAGCGGCGGCGACAGCGGCCATGGTGGCGACGGTGGCGATGGTGGTGAAATGCATCTTGACGATAATATGTTTCGGTTTCGTTGTTTTGACGTAAGAAGGCGCGAAAGAGCGTAGGGAAGCGGCTGAGCTAACACGGGCCGTGTATAAGTGGTTGTTGTGAAGGAGTGGAACGAGTATTGAAGAATACTCTGGTCTGAACGGACGCGAAAGGAAGGCTGGGTAGCCGCGCAAAGGCGTTATGCGGAACGAAAGGGAGGCTGTCGGTGATGTGGTGTGAGAAGAAGGAGAGACGAGGCAAACGGGCGGGTGAGATGCGTATATGGGCGTTTTTGGGGTGCCTCAGATTTGGGCGGAGAAGGGGGGGGGGTGGTACCTGGACCGGGCGCGGGTGTGAGCAGGCAATTTCCCCTTGTGTTCGTAGTGGATGGCTAGTGGCTGAAAGGCGCTGTCAGGGCCATCCCGGCGACCATCCATTTCTGGAGGGGCGGCCAGGGCCAGTGAAAATGTGCTGGGCCCCACACCACTCTGCTGCTAAAACGGGTAGAAGGACGGGCGTCTGGCAGCCCTGACGAGGGCAAGGGAAGCACTCAACAGCTCAAGGTCAGAAAGGGCAAACGAAAGTTGAAACGTCCACAGGGCAACGGCAAACACGGAAAGCTCATACCGTCCGGCAGACTTTTGTGTTGCACCTGGGCTGCTTGCTTCGCGATACCTGCAGCTGTCCAGCACACCACGGAGGGCAGCCCCAGATGCCCATGCAATGTCTCTGGCGCCGTGGTGATTCCCTCTGGGCAGGTCCTCATCAAGTGGCTTACTCTTCGCTCTGCTACATGGGAAATACCTGCCACGAGCGGAAACAGCGCGCCGCTACAGAGTTGCGCCCAGGTACCAGATGGACTGGACCGGCGACGATCCCACTCTCACGGCTACTTGTACTCCGTTCAGAGTCCCGACTATCCGTCGATGTACTGATAAGAAAAAATTGCACAAAAGAAATCTGAAGCTGGGCTGCGACTCATCCGTGGAGCGTGCATAATTCGCGCAAGTCGTTGATACTTGTGCCGTGCCGTGAGAAATTGTCGTCGTTCCGTACCGGATCGCGTTTGTTACGGTGAGAGGGAACTCGTCCTGGGGTTGCCGTGTCTGAGGTTCTCTTGTACAGTGCTGTATTCCACTAACTAGTCATGCGTCCCGCTGCAAGTTGCTCTCTGTAACAATGCCGGTCGAGTGCCGGGAGGGAGGCACGAACGAATTGGCTTGTTGCATAGTTGCAGTGGTCGGGCCACGAAGATGAGTAATAAATGGAACAAGTCTCTCAGCCCTTTTCTCTCTGTTTGCCCAGAGCCAAGAGTGGGGACGAGCTCATTTCCCGAGACCCGCCGGGGCCTTGCATGAATCTCTTCGACGATTGGCCAGGGACAGCCCTTTGGCGGAGCTAGCCGACGCGCTAGCCCTGTTCCTGAACTATTTCCAAATGAATGAGTGGTCAGAGAGAGCATGCTGTCCTTGTTAGTGTCGTCAAGCCAACGGGCACGCTAGCACTCTGCGGTACCTGCAGCTGCTAACAGGCTTCGCTTTGGGCTACTTTCTTTTCCGCCCTTTTCCTTGACTCTGAGGCGCTTTCTTTTCCGTTCCTAGTCACGAGCAAGACGTTGAACCTCTTTTCGACTTGAACCCCTTCGACTTGAACCCCTTCGACTTGAACCCCTTCGACTTGAACCCCTTTGACTTGAACCCTGAACACAGCGGCAGCTTCTTTTTGACGGCCCAACAAATCATATCTCGATATCCTTCCCACAGGCTGGCAGCCAAAAAGCTTGGCCACTGAGCCAAGCCTCTCGGTCGGCTTCCTCTCTTGCCAGCTCATGCCTCCGCTCCACCTGACGAGACAGGCGGCATTTGACTTTTTGCTGGCTTGACAAATTCTAGGCCCGAACATTCGGTGCCCAAAGAAAGAGGTACGCTCCAGGTAACAACTAGGTAACAGGTACAGTAGATACATAGCTACAAAGAACGGTGGCCTCGTCCGCTAGTGGCAACTTGATTACCTCGCCCAGTGCTGCTGGTATTGATGCAGATTTTTCAACGTCGCCCCGCGTAATAAAAGCTGCGCGCCGGCACTCTCACCACCTGCCTCCCTCGGATGGTACCTTTGAGTAACAAATGGTTGACATATAACTCTGGCCCCAGTTCGTTCTTCATCAAGTTTGCCACGCCACGCCACATTGCCGCCACTCTCAATCACCGTGTCGTGTGCCTCTCAGCACTACGAACAATGAGCAACGTTATACCGAGTACTTTTACCCATCAGTATTCCGTAATTCGTACCTAGTACCGTTTTACCGCTAGCCACGTCCCTTTCATCTACTCCAGATCCAGAATCTTCCTTTGCGCATTGGCACCCGACTTGACGCCCGTTTCGTTTCACATGCTCATGCATCCGCACTTATCCGATACACTCTGGGCTATTCTAAGCTTGTTCGTTTGCCCCTCACCGATACTACTCTCTTTTTCTTTGAGACCAGCGCATTCTACCCACTCCGCTGGCTATCTGTCTTGCCAGCCTCTCTGTATTGTCACAATTCTAGACTGCCATGGCGCGCCATAACTAGTCCATCAAGCGACTGAGTCCGAGGGGCGAAGCAAGGCAACTCCCGTCCCCGACCCGGACCCAGTATCTGATACACGCCTAGACGCTTCCTTGACCACCCTCTCATTTGTAACTTGTGCCTGCCTCGGTCTACTCGCTGGACGAAAACACTCATTCATTCTCCTTGGTAAACATGAACGCAATGGCCTGTACTTTGAGGAAGAGACTTGTTGACATCTCACCGCCGGCCCGTCGGCCTTCCGTCTATGCGCAACGACCCTCCCTGTCACACGTAAAAGAAATTCTTATACACAGATACACTCTTCTGTGACACTTGGCTATTGTCAAAATTTTCACGAAAAAGAATTCACGCAACTTATCCTTGTACATTGAGAACCAGTGGCCACCACATGGTCGAGTCGAGCCCCCACTACGAGTCATCCTAACCTACTTGTGAATGCGGTGAAAAGAAGTGCGTGAAGAAATATCTTTACAAAATTTTCATACTGTTAACGGCTCTGTGTGGAATTGATGGATGGCGGGGGAAGGTGAGCGAGAGAGTCGCGCCGTATCGTACTCATTCATAGCCTTTCGTTATCATCGGTCGGTGATGGCTTCCATCGCGATTCGACCGGACAAGAACCTGCGACGTATTACCAGCTTCGCAAATAGCCAGCAACACTTGTCTCAGACTACATACAGTAGACCTTCTTTTCATTGTATAACGCGTGGCCTGTCTCACTGGCCCTTGTTAGCCCAAAGGACGATCAACGATGGAACGGGCACTAACTAGTTAGTTGCTGTTAGAAAGGGATTGATCTCGTGCCAACACGTCAAGAGACAAAAAGCCAATGTCTTGCTGCTGTTGCAATCCATCGAGCATTTTGTTTCATCCTGCCTCTGCCTTGCCAGCACACTATTCACAGCTACTATCGTTCACCAGGATATCCATTCCAAGCATACCGACCCGGCAGGAGCTTCTCCAGCTAACACTGATTCAACACCTTCCCATCTTGCAACGCATGGTCCCAGAGCCGAGACAATTGTTGTGCCTGTTCTTTACGACATATGGAAATCTTTCAGCGGTATCAGCTATCAGAAACCAAGGCCTCAAGATCAAACGCGAGTTGCACCATCACTCGTGCCGTCAGCATTCCCGTGACGGTGCTGTCGAACCCGTAGAGCCCATCATCGAGCATGAAAGCGCGCAAGGGATCCCACCACGCAGGCTCAAGAGGGCCGTTCTCCGCCAACACCGCCTTATCGTAAGAAGACTTCCGGCGTGGTAAAAATATATTAGACCAATGATAAAAAATACCGTGGCGATTGTAAAATGATTGATGGCTTACCGTCGATAAAAAAATGCAAGAGCCGCATCATGGAGCGAGACAACGTCCACGCACTAGGAGAGTTGATCCCGAGAATTATCAAGCACTCGGCGCAGAACCTGTAGAATTCCTTCTCAAAGTTGGGCACCAAATGCATCATGGACCTTGCCTCGGCTTCGCAGCTCTTTGCGAGCCCCTGGCTGAGGCCCTTCAGCTATTGCAACATCTCACCCAGTCAGAATATACAGATAGCGCCGGCGAAGGACCAGAACTTGATCTATTGGTCCGCTATCAAAGTCCAAGTTGTTTCTTGGGGACTCATACAACTGCACCCGGTTAGCCGCCGCAGACCGCGCTGCATGTCACTGAACTTCTTGCGATCACGTATGATCCAGGACGAGTTTTTTTGAGCTGAGACCTGGCCTTCTTGGAGAACTGGCGCTTGAGGTCTTGGACGTCGTCACCGTTGCAGCTGCCGTGCAGACTGAGGAGCGACGTCTCTGCCATGCACGAGGCAGCACCGATGCCACCATGCTTCGCTTCAACTGTCTGCGCGTCAGATAGAAGATGTATGATTTGCCGCAAGCAGCTGTTATCTAGGGCCTCGGAGCGCCAGCCCTGCAGGATATTCGGCCTCGTGTCGCTGCCATCAGCACACAAGCCCATTTCCGAGCTCCAGTTGTAGAGCCGGCGCTTTTCCAACTCCAACTGGAGACGTTCCTTGTCGAAGTCGGTGTCGTGGTTTCGGTATAGCTGAATCATTTCCCACACGTCGAGTGTGCGGTTGAACAGCGCCATGAGGGTCACGCCACTGGCTATGGCATCAAGCACTTCCATGGCCGGCTAATCATTGAGCTGAGGGCAGAGATAAGTAGGCCGCTGTTGGTAGAGTACTGGCCAATATCACTCATGTTCTCTGAATGAAATTTTAACAAAATATCAACGGGGAATGAACAAGACCTGCCATTGTTGCTTTTTGAGCGTGGCGCTGCCCAGGCTTCGACCTAAATGGCCAGACGAGGGTTCCGTGGTGAGAGAAAGCCCTGAGCCGAATGCAAGACAGAATCTCGCAAACTGCACTCGTTATGTCAGCAAGGCCGACACTTCGACTACAAATCAGGACTCTTCAGGACGGCTTTGTAAGATAATTGCTGGGTAAAAGAAGCTGTACGTGATTGTACAATTTGACACTATTCCCATCAGCTATGTACATAGCTGTAGATCAGCGATCAAGGCCCTCAAACCCCGCTGTTACCCGTTAACCGCAAGCAACTTTGTTAGTTCCTACTTATGAACTTTGCCTTGTCTCTCTTCTAATCACTACTACCTATGACCCTTATGACCTGGTTTAGCTAACTGACTGGTACATACGGCCATAGGCAGTAGAAAATATCGCGTCCCGTTTGCTCCGCTGAAATCAAGCTATTGACCGGCAGATTAGTAGTTGGGTCGGTGACGACCAGCGAACACCGGCTGCTGTATGTTTTTTTGTTTCTTTTTCTTAATTTTGGCTCTATCTCTTCATGGTTTCTCTGCTGTCTCTCTCTCTCTTCTGCTTGGTGGCATCTCCTGCAATCTCCGATGCACAAACTTCGATCTTACATTGCAGTGTCGCATCGTCCGATTCGGGCCATCATCAGTCCCCTCTCTTTCTTAATCACCATGGAAGAAGGAAATGAGAAGAAGAACCTTTGTAGACAGGGAAATAGGCACGACCACTCAGTGGCACATATCAGTTCAAGGTAGTGGGCAATCGACACTTGTAGGATGGCTTCGAAGATTGGGGCCATATTGGTCGGCATATTATTCCCCTCTGGGTAACTAGTTGCTTGCGGCATAAAACAACTCCCACCTGGATCAATGCAGAGCTAATAACTTGGAAACGGATTCATTAAAACGTATTATACTTGGCGTTTATGCAGCCAAATTCAGGCAATGCAGGACCACTGCACAAACCCTACAATCGAACAAACCTCTTTCACGATTCAAGCCACCCCCCCCCCCCCGACCGCACCTCTCACTCGCCGTCCTCGCTTCCCATCTTAGCAATCCACTTGTTCATGTGCGAGTACTTGTCCTCAAACGTCCGCTGCAGCCGCTCGCCCGCCTCGTACATGGGCTGGCCGGGCTTCCAGTACGTGAAGCAGTTCTCAAAAATCTGCCGCACGTCCGCCACGAACTCGACGTCGTCCGCGTACGCCCGCCGGTCCATCCGGTCCTTGATCGTCATCAGGTCCATCGGCCGCTTCACCTTGTCCAGGTAGTCCGGCACCCCGTCCTCCTCCGGCTCCACCGGCTCGCGGAACGGCCCGACCAGACGCGTCCAGAACCCCGGCCCGGACAGCATCCGCGTCAGCAGGTCCGCGCAAAAGTCCAGCTTCGACGCCGTCGAGAACGTCCGCCCGTCCAGGTACGCCGCTGCCCCGGAGCGGCGTTTCTGCGGCGGCTTCGGCAGCGGCGTCCGGTTCTTGGACGCGGGAGCGGCGGCAACGACGACCGAGTCTGTCCCCGACGCCGATGCACCCACCGCCGCCTGCTGCGAGGGCGCGGCGCTCACGCGCCTGCTCCGCTTGACGCTGGCGAGGCCGTCGTCGTCGTCGGCCGCATCTAGGTAGTGCACGTTCTTCCGCGCGGCCGCGGCTTGGGCTCGGTCGCCGAGGCTGTTGCGCTCAAACGAGCTCATGGCGACGACCAGCTCGCTCAGGACCTCTTGCGGCAGTGACTTGGCAAACTCGGCTCTTGCGGCCGATGATCTCATATACTCGGCCGTCCACGAGAGCAGGAGCTGCCTGATCGCCGAGCCTTCCGGGGCTTCCTTCCAGACTTGCACCAGCAGCGGTGTCGAGGGTATCCGTGACGTGATCCTCCTACACTCTGTCATGGCGTCCAGGGCCCGATCGCACAACCCGTCGATCTCCAGCTTGTACCCCAGATTCCACAAATTCACCAGCGCTTCGTAGGACGGCGTCGCTCTCAGGTCGGCAATAACGTCCCCTGTGAAGAGATAATGTTGTGCCAGTCCAAACACCTGCACCGACGTGTCGGGAAGCTTGACGATGTGCTCGAGCTTCTCTTCATCCTTGTTTTCGGCAAAGTATCTTTTGTAGAAGCCGCTTCGGTAGCATAGAAAGTCCTTTTGCAAACCGAAGGGTTGCTCATCCGGGCCAATCAACAGTATTACAAAGGTCGGATGCGGCTTTCTATTGAATGTTAGAGAGAGCAATCCTGGAGCTAGAACTTCGGAAACTCACAGCCATGAGAACTCTGGTACATTGATTGCCGGTTTGGCTGGTTTTGTGGCTGCGGGTGGCTGTGGCTCGGGTGCTGGCTTGGGTGCCGGCTCAGGCTCAGGCTCAGGAGCAGGAACAGGAACAGGAACAACAGGAACAACAGGAACAACAGGAACAACAGGAACAGATTGGTCCGGTTTGCTCTCCACCAGTTTGCTTTCCGCCGGTGCCACCGTGATGACAGTATCTGTGCCTTCCGACATTTCGAATAGTCTGAAATACCTCCCAGTTAGATTCTGACGTTCCGCACGAGATTGAAAAGGGTAGAGTCGTGGGCCGGCCCCGTCCTCTTGCCCAACGGGGCGCAAACGGACCATCCTCCCAGCGTCCACTGCAGGGTTTTTCACAACCACGCTGGTCCTTGTACGGAAAAATGAGACCCAGAGGAAATACAGGCAAGCAAAAAATGAGTTGAGCGTATCTGGGGATGAGATTCGATGAGTTTGGTGCACTCGTGCTACACAACGTACCGTTCTGTTTTTGCTCCTGGTTTGTTAAGGGAATTCACGGCCGACTCACAGGGCCATTTCTAGTTCGATTGCAACAGAGACCACTTCTGCGGACCGCAAGTACTTGAAAAACTTTTAAATGAATGAAACTCGACAATTGAAGCTGAATTAATGCCACAAACGATGATTGTCACGATTTGGCTAGGATCCGTTGATGCCAGTTGAGTGAGTGAGTGGCTCCATGAACGAGCAAATGGAAGTGTGATTATGTAAGCATGTTGCTATGTAGGGTAAGTGGCACATGGTTGCTTGGGAATTTTGTCCTGCGGCAAGAGATGCTTACAAAGAGAAGAAAGGTTTGAGTTTGCCGAGCTATAGTATCAGCTCGAACTTCCTGGAGGCCTGTAAAATTTCTTTTATTTTTGGGTACTGCTGATATTTGGGTTGTGTGGTGATCAGACAATTTGTGAGCTGACCATCTTACCCTCTGCTGGTCATCATACAAGGGCCACGAAATTGCAATAATTGTTGTTTATTGTCTGTTGAAACTGCACTCTACTAAGAATGATGTAGGAAGCGAAGTCTTGTCTCTAATACAACATCAAACCTCAAGCTGTGCGGTACATGTCAGTGACCGTCTTACACCACGGCTCCCTGTTTCACCAGAAACTCTCGTACCCGCGCTGGACAGGTGTCACCAGCCAGTCCCAACGCCGTCGCGCCCCCGTTGTCCCTGTGATTGATATCGAAGCCGTCACATTTCGTGAGCGCTGCGACGACCTCCAAGGCCTGATTTATCCCCTCAGCCCAATCCGGGAACGGATTCGCCTCAAAACGAGCGAATAGTAGGTGCAGCGCCGTACGTCCATCCTCCGTCAGCGCCATCGGGTTGGCGCCATGCTCCAGGAGCATGCTCACCGAGGCGGAGGAGACGGAAGTCGCAGCTTCGTGTAGCGGCGACCATGTCGATCCGAAAACATCCTCAAGTCGATCCCCGGGCGCTCTGCAAACAAGAAAGCGCAGAGCCTCGGCGGCAAAGAGGTGGCGGCTCAGCAGGTGAATCGGCGTGATTCCTCGCGTGGTGACGGGGTTGACATGCACGGCCAACGGGTCGGCCCCGGCGTTGCCGAGCGCCTTGATCGCTCCCGCTCGGAAATACTTACAAGCTACATGCAGAGGCGTGATGTTGTTCAACATTCTCGCGTTGACGTCCGCACCCTCGCGTATCATGGTCCTGGCCAGGCGGTAGAGGCTATCCGAGCTGCTCTCAACTCCAGTGGTAGGGTAGCAGACTGCATGCAGACCGGTGATGCCATAAATATGCGTGGCCGCGCGCACGTCTGCTCCATGGCTCAGCAGCACGTGAACGATTTCCACGCTGCCGGCCCAACAAGCTGCAAGGAACGGAGTGCTGCCGAGCTCAACGGCATTGGGGTCGGCTCCGCGGTCGAGCAGCACGGCCACAACCTCGGCAAAACGGCGCTGGCACGCCTGGTAAAGGTAGCTGGCTCCTGTAGAGTTCCGTTGAAGGAGATCGGCGCCATTGTCCAGAAGCACCTTGACCGTCTTCGGATGGCCCATGCACGCAAGTTCGAGCGGTGTCTCTCCTCGCTTATTCCGGCGCACAGGATCAGCGCCGTGCAGCAGCAGCCGCCGAACCACCGTTGGGAATGCGTGTCTGCAGGCCTCGTGAAGCGCCGACTCGCCGCGGGATGTAATCGCACCCACGTTGCTGCCGTGTCTGAGCAGTTGTTCCAGCAAGTCATCTTTGAAGTGGCTGGCAGCGAAGTATAGCGGCGTGCGACCATCAACAAGGGCCATGTTGACGTCTGCGCCAGCTTCCAGCAACATGGTAACGACTTTCCCGTGGGTCCGCCTCAGAGCACAGATCAGAGGCGTTGCGCCATCGGATCTCTGCTTGTTAATGTCGCTTCGATGCTTGAATATCAATTCAGATGCGGCATCTGTGCAGCCATTGGAGGCCGCTTCATGAAGCCAGGAGCTCCCGTCAATGCCGGTCGTGGTCTTGTCAATGTCGTCGCGCTGCAGCAGCTCCTCAACCACAGCGGGATAGCTGCGGTCGCATGCGAGATGAAATAGTTCATAGCCATCAACATGGACTCTATCCGATGCCATGAGAAGCCTAAACACTTGCATATGCGGGGCATGGAGGGCATGCTTGATGGGCAGTGTGCCTAATAAATCGGCCTGATTTGGGTCAACAGTCGGCATTTCAAGTAAACGCCTGACCACGGCTTCGTGTCCAAACCTGGCTGCCTCAGCGAATGCTGTTAGCCCGCGATGATTCGCTGCGTTGAAGTCGACTCGATCATCGCGTAGTAACAGGTCCAAGATGGTTCCAGATTCATCCTCAGGTCCGAACCGGATTGCCCACATAAGCGGTGTTTCGCCGAGATGGTTAGGTTGATTGGGGTCCATTCTCCCCGAATTGTAGAGAAACGTGAACAGGGCAGCTTTTTTGTTCCTTATCGCCGACATGAGAGGGGGAGTGTGCCGGTCATGGGAAAGGCTTGCCTCGTCTAGTGTCTCCAAGAGGTAATGGCAGACTTGACTGCCGGAGACATCGTCTCCAACATATCTGGAGTTGATCGCAATATTGAGCAAGCCGTTCTGGTCCGCGGCACGTGTAATGGAGTTGATGTTGATATTCCCCGAAGAAATCAAAAATTTGATCATGTCCAAGTGCCCATGCTCGATGGCGATTACCACGGGGATGGCTCGGTCTCCTTCGGGGCTGGTGACAGCTACGGCGGCACCGGCCTTGATGAGCAGAGATGCAATGTCCAGCCTGCCGGTAGCTGCTGCTGAACAAAGAGGAGTAGGGTAATGGGGCTCTCCTGGCAGATTTAAAGGCGGGGGAGGAGCCCACAGCCAGTGATTTGTCCAGCTACTGCTATAAAATTGGTGTTGGTCGGGAACTGATAGTGAGGAGTTTGAGGAATTTGGGTCTGCCCCGTAGGCGAGAGCCTTGCGGACGATTCCAATACATGCATGCTCAGCTCCCCATTGCAGGGCAGATGAATTTCCTTGACGCGCATTTTGCCTGTACAGATCGGCCTCCAACGGCTGAAAGCGGCGACTTGTCCGCGTAAGTGCGCTGAAGCTGGCGTCGCCGACGTGATGTGTCACCATCAAGAGTAATTCATTGGGGAGCGTGGCCAGCGGCGATGATTCCATCGTAGAAATCAAGGATGACAGATGATGGACGAAAGAGGCACGGTTGCAACCTATCGCTACGATTGCAACCTGTCGGATGTCGAATGTCGAATGTCGAATGTCAAAGTGATAGATTTCGGATGTCCATGAAAAACGAAATAGGAAGGAAATTCAAGCCAACATTGCCTGTCCATTTATCCATCTCTAGGGCGGTGCCTATGGCCCAGGACTTCTTTTTTTTTTTTTTAAAAAAAACGCCTCTGATATGCTTTCCTAGACGACATCTAGCCGAACTATATTATCAAAGGTTGCCAGTATCAGATAGTTTTTGCCTTCGCTAGTATATCAAGCGGTATCTTGACTAGAAAAACCATGCCAAAGGCTGAAAAATCCCCCCCTCCCTCGCAGGTAAAGAGCCTATCCGCGAGTTGTCGCCGCTAAGATATCCATCACTATTTATTTCACCCAACAAGCACAGTAGAGTAGGAATTTAACAAGAACAGATGAATGAGATCTCTAGATGAACTCGCCTAAAAGAAATCCCCGCAAGGTTTGTTGCAGCGTCGCAAAAAAAACACCGCTGTTGGTCGTCTCTGTCATCTGGCCAACACGCGCTGCCCAAGGCCTCGCCTTATATTTTCCCGAATAGGAAGATCGCAGCACAAAGCAAAAAAAAACCCATGCCCCTTCGTGGAATGGTGCAATCTGACGGCGCCGGAGAAACCGAACTCAAAAGTTCCCAAGGCCACGTAACAAAGACACACACTGCAGAAAACTAGTGCACGCCGGGGGGGGGGCGGGGGGGGGGGGGAGCTGCTCAGCCTCAAAGGCTGAAGGCACTGGGTTCGACCCAACCGGAAGACCGGCCTTGGGTGACGTACGTCTGGCCAAGGTCCCGGGCGGAAGGCGTTCGTCGCATTGTATCCGAAAATCCAGGCGCTAAAATATAACATGTCGGAATCTACGATGCCAGGGCTGTGATAGGCTGCCTTATTCGGCTGCCTACGCAGCGCGGGGGAGGGGGTCGGCCAGGCTTCGGGATTTCGCCCAGCAAGGCGCATTGGAGGAGGCAGCCCAAGTTGATAAAGCTTTCGGTGTCTGCCTTGAACAAGAAACCGGGGGTCCTGTTTGCGTTATCGCCGTCATCACCATCACCCATCTTCACCCCTCGAGGGGTTGTCTTCTCCCCAGCTACTTATACCACGCGCCAAAACAGCCAGACAAGCTGAATGTGCCTCTGCTTCCGCCGCCGCAAACCATCCTTCCAGTACCGGCCTCTCTACTCGCTCGACACCCTCCCCGGCCGACCCTTCTCCTCCTCCCCTCGCACCACCATGGGCGTCTCCCCCTCCGGCGCCGTGCCTCCTCCTGCCATGCCGCCCCGGCGCCAGACCGTCCCCGTTGGCCCGGCGGACACCTCCCCGTTCACACAACAGCGCGAGCGCCTCGTCCTTGAGCTCTTGCCGTTCAGGCCCCCCGGCCAGTTCCACGAGTGGCTGCGCGGCGGGCCGGTGCAGGGCGCGTGGGGCGAGTTCCAGCGCGACCTGCTCGCGCGCGCGCCGGCCGACCACCCGGACCCGGACCCGGACAAGGCCCGCACCGCGCAGGCCACCAAGGATGCCATCAACGGGCGGTCGCAAAAGTTCCTCGTCTACCACCCGGACAAGGCCGGCTGGGCGCCCGAGGACCACTACGTCCGCTTCATCGCCGTCGTCATCTCCGACTCGCTGCTGGCCAACCTGTGGTCCGAGTCGGACTGGAAGAAGCGCAACATTGACATTTGCAAGGCCGTGTACGAGGTCCTGTTCTTTCTGAAAGCGTCACACTATATGAACCAGCAAGCTCCGCCGTGTTATACCGATTAGCACCATGTCAGGCACCATGTTAGGCACCATGTTTAGGCTGAGTGGTGTGCGTCAAATACAGTTTTTCATACTCTTCATGTTCGGTCAGTTGGTGGTGATTGGACTGGGTGAATGACCAAGCTCGGTCTTGTACTTTCTCGGATTTAAAGCCTTTGTATTTTTGCTGCCATGCAATATCATGATCGCTCTATGAGAGCGGTGGTATATGGATAAATTCCTCCGCGAAGAAATCAGTCGTTCAGTCACCCCCCTTTTTCGATCGCTCTACATTCTGTGAATCTTTTCCTCGTTCATGTACTTGTCGAGGCCAGAGTCGAGGTGCGCCCACCACTCGAAGAGAAAAGAATTGCAGATGAGCTTGAACCAGGGCGTGAACTTGAGGCTAGGGTCCTCAAACAGCTGCTTGAGACGGTCGGGGCTGACGTATTGGGTGGCCTGAACCTCATTGGGGCTGGGGTTGAGGTCGACGTTGGCCTTGATGAAGAGGATGTAGTCAACTAGACAACACAGATCAGCGCTGCATGCAATGCAAGATGGGAGAAGCCCGCGGTTTGGTATACATACTCTCATGCTCGCCCCATTTGCCATCGCTAGGCGCCTTGTAGTGAATGCGGGTGAGGAAGCGGAACTTGTCAATGGGAACCTGCTCAGCGTTGATGCCCAGCTCGTGGTCGAGCTTGCGCTGGGCGGCGCGCTTGACGCCCATGACGGCGTCGGGCAGGTTGGAGCCCGTCTCGCCGGGGATGCCGAGCGGGTGGGAGCAGCAGGTGTTTGTCCACATGTCAGGGAAGGTGATCTTTTCGGAGGCGCGCTGCTGGAGGAGGAGCTCGTTCTGGTCGTTGAAGAGGAAAACGGAAAAGGCGCGGTGCAGGAGGCCCTTGTCGATGTTGGTCATGAGATGGCCTGGCAGATGGGGAGGCAAGGTTAGCAGTCGAGGCAATACAGGAGCAGGCTGTTGCGTTGCCGTGCACTGTGGGAAGGCTTTATCGAGAAAGCAACATACAGAGCTTCTTGCTGGCCTGGCCAATGGGCATGTCGTTCTCGTCGAGGACGATACAGACCTCGTCCATCAGACGAATCTGCTCCTCGTCATGGCCGGACAGCGCCTCGGAGGTGGTGTCAATGTCGGGGAACAGGCGGAGAATGGCATCGGCGGTGATGGGCTGGGTCGCCGTCGTGGTGACTGTTGTCGTGGTCGACATAGTGGCGGTGGTCGGTGTGGACGAAGGCAAAAGGCGGGGGGACGATGGGGACACACGAGCGTGGTCGCTACGTGGGAGGGCGAGTCGCGCAGATAATTGCTCGAATCAAGCAAAGATAATTCGCAATTCAGGGAATATGGCGATAAAATTGAGTCGCATTCAGGCAGCCGCGATGCAAGTGGACGTAAGGGAAAGAAGAAGGCGGGGGGGGGGGAACGAGATTTTCGGTGGTGGTGATGGGCAGCGGTTTAATGAACGGGCGGCCCCTCATCCCCATCCGCAGCCATCTCATCTACCAGGTACCAGAAAGTTTTTTTTTTAAATGGTTCACCGAGAGCTCTCCTCTTCGTACTCTTCGCTCCAACTGGGATCTGCCATTCGTTTATCCCAATAAATTTCTACCCAAGCGTACTTTGCAATACGGTAATTAGGCCAGTGTTTGGTATTGCTGCTCGGTAATTGGTCGTTACCCCAACCCGAATGCGAGTTCGACATGGGCAGATTTCCCCCACACTGGTGCGAGTTGCTCAGATTCGTCATTGCCCTCCGCTCTCCGTCACAATTAAAGCTACAGTACGCTGTCTCAAACACTTCCTTTCCATACCGAGGAGAGTGCTCAGATAGACCTTGTTTTTTCTTCTTACAAAAAGACGAGCTGACGCTAAGATCAGCATCGTCAAAATGGTAGGGTCAACAAACATCCGTTTCTCGGCGCCGAAAAGCATCCAACGTCTCCACTACAAACGCTGCTTCATAATACCACGACATCTACAATACACAAGACTCGCTATCTGGACAACATATCAGTAACTGACCTTTCGAAGTGTATTTTTGAACTAAATTCTGGGCGGTAGAGGAGGGTCTCCCTAGAACGCTTCTATAAGAAACCTCGACTTTCTCTTGATTTACATCGCCGTCGATCCCAAAACATGCCCACGCGATCAGGATGCGGACATCTTCCATCAATGTTCGTACATCAGAATCATTCATTCCTGGTCTCCATCCTCTTCTTCCGCCTCCGCCTCCTCCGCTTCGTCGTAGCTTCGGTACTCCTCCTCTTCGTCCTCGCTCCGCCCGACGTCCTGCCCAAGGATGATATCCTCGCTTCCCTGCCACTGCTGTGGCGGTGGCGGCAGGTCAGCCTCGTCCTCCTCCGCCCATCCGTAGTCCTCGTCCTCGCTGTCCGGCACCTCGAGCTCCGCCTGGTCCAGATTGCGCTTCTGCTGCGCCGCGACGGTCGCCATCTCCATCGGGTGGCTCGCCTCGTACTCGACGCCTCGCACGCCCGTCTACTCCAAATTAGCTACCGCATTGTTCCAGGGGAAGAAAATGTTAAAAAGAATAAAACGGAGAAGGCGAAGTCTCAGACGATCCAACCCCCGTTTGCAAAAATGGCTGCACCTACCGATTCGACCGTGAATGCCGAGGCGTTTCCGACCACGTCCGTCACCGTGCGCCCGTCTACTCGCTGCACACCCACCAGAAACACGCTGTGCGGCTTCCTGTCCTCCCACGACCAGTTCCTAAACATCACGAGTCGCGTGGATACGCCTTGCTCCCACACCGTCGCATTGATGGCCGGGACAATTGCGGCTCCGTGCTCGGACTGCATCTTGGTCGCGCACTGCGACAAGATAACAACTGCGCAGTTTCGCGTGGCAGCAAGCTTGTTGAGGAGTGACATGGTTGTCTGAAGAGCTTGCATTCGTTTCGCGGAGAAGTTCGGGCCTACCGCCCTCGGTTAGCACGGTGTGTTTCGCCGAACGGAGGCGTGTCTGTGTACCTTGGGACTGCTTGTTCTTTTGCCTGTTGGCATGAGACCGAGGCAGCGCTGCGTTGATCAGAGCAGAGACACAGTTGATGACGATTAAAGAAGTGCCTTGCGGGATAGTCGTGCTGGATGGGCGGGACAATAGGGCCAAAAAATGAGGAAGTGTAAAGCAAGAGTAGCGAGTGAAGCCGTCTCCGCTTGAGGCGCCCGTTTCAGAAGCGTGCGCGGCAGCGTCCGCTTCTTTACTCAGCTGCATCTTTTTCAAAGCAGCTGAGAGTCTCGCAGCCGGCGTCTCATGGAAGCAATCTGTAGTGTTGGGCGATTAGTGTCTGACACGGCGATGGTGGCGGGCTGTTTGTTACAAGAGCCGTCACTGACCAATCCAAATCACACCATCGCCGCTGCTGAGAGCATTGGCAGCCAACTGAGTTCTACATCCCAAATCAGCCCATGAAAACAAGTGATTACCGAGAGCCCGGAGTCCTCATACCCCAACGCCGTTCGTCCGCTGCCAGGAGGACCCCATATCTCAGTTACCTGCCCGCGTTTGATGCCGCCGGGCAGGGGTTTTTCGCTCCCAAATATCTGTGACGAGGGCGAGAAAGACACCAATACCTTATCCAAGTTCTTTATTCCCGTGGAGATGCAGTTGGAGCCCGTGGCCTCGAGGGCCTCCAGCGCCTGGGACGCTGAGATGGTTGGGAGCCGATCTGCTGGCAAGTCAGACAACGAGCCGGTTGCGCGCCGGTTTGAAGGCAATGCTCATACGTGTATTTGGTATATCAAAACTGGCTATGTCATTGCCATGTATTGAGTGGTAGTCCATTATTTGGCGACATGGCGTTGGAAACGCGGGTCATTCGAATTACGTAGAAGGTAATTCATCAAGTGCGCGTCGATTCGCGAACTTGTCACGTCGAGCACGTGATCCATTAAACCACGTAGAGGTCACAATTGAAGATGATGATTATTTCGAGAGAAAATATCCAAAATAAACAGGATTAATAACTTTTCAATGAGAATGGCGCTATTCTTCTTCATTGGCCGGTTTAGATTACTGTTAGGCCTTGTTGAACCGTCGTTCTATCTCGAAGTACCCCCCACCGAGTATCGTTGAAGGGATCACCGTGTTGGATTGGATGGCTTTCAGGTCGCCAACATGGCTTTTCCTAGTTCTGGCGCGGTCTTTAGCCTCCATTGCAAATCAAAGCGTACTGCAGCTCGTATGATGAAAATTTCTGCAAGTTTATCTCTCGCATACCTTACCAAAGTCGGCTTCTCCGCATATTCCCTCTTGTCTAGCTCTAGCATCTTAATGGCTGCTGACTAGGTCGTGGGGGGTTACCAGTAAAATGACTTCATAAAGATGCCGAACCAACTCTAATCCGGCCCAGCTTTTGGGCATTAAGCAAAGTCGGCTCTGCCGTTGCCGGACGAACGGAGCGGAGTGTACGTATAATGCGAATAGACTTCGCCAGGAAAATTCGGTTACAGCAAGTCGAGGAAACCGCGCATTACGTCTAATTCTACTCTTCTTTGGCGGCATATACTAGGCAGTAGCAACCTGAGTCGGTCCGCATGTGCATGACTGTCGACGGGGTTGGTGGCTTCACTCCAATGAGATGAGTTTGTTGTCCTATGCCAGCTGAAGGTGAAACGGGCTGCGCCTCGGGAGAGGGCTTTTTTCTCTTGCAGATCCGAAAAGACGGTAACGAGGAGCCATATCCGAGCTCGATGACGATGTGCAAGGATACCCCTACTTGCCACGGCGTGCTTCGGGTATAACCTTGTCAATGCATAAACGCAATGGCACACACAGCAAGTAGCCGTGGGGAAAAGCTGTCAACTCAGGTATCGTTGCGTACGGAGTAACTAGTGAGGTGATATCAATTTGGCGTTACAAACGAATAATACGTTGCAGTGCCGGTTCTGGGAAATGATGCAACACAAGCTGGCATCATGGCATTACGAGGCCACTGACGATCAATGCTGGGGTTTATTAAACAACTGAGTTTTGTCATCTGCAACGGTGGCTTGCTAATAATAAACCATCCCGCCATTTTGATCCGCAAACAGAAACTCGGTTACCTTGTCCGACACTTTTACCCCAGAAAAAAAAAATCAAGTCGTCGTATACCTTTCGCTAGGCCTATTGTGTTACTAGTTGTATCCGTAGTCCTGTATACCGAAGAAGCCCTTTCCTTCTTTCCTTCTTCCTTTACAGGTACAATTTGTCTTTCGCCCCGTCCCCCATCTTTGATATTTTAGGCTGTGGGGTTTTTCATGTTGGCCAGCACGATCCGATAGCCATCCGGATCTTCATAGGTCTTGCCCACTCGGTCCCAGTACGGGTTGAAGGCGGCCACGGGCGCGAAGCCGTGCGCCTGCATGCGCGCGACGGCGGCCTGGAATTGCGCGTCCTCGGGGAGGTAGAAGACGAGAAGGTTGTCCTGGGTAGGGGCGCGGCCGACGGGGTGGCCACGCTTGGTGGTGAACTCGAGGTGGTAGCCGGTGCCGCGGCGCCCCAGCATGATGCCGTCGAAGCCGTCGTGCCCGCCAAAGCTAGTCAGCATCTCAAAGCCCAGCCCGTCAAGGTAAAAGGGGAGGAGGGCGTTGAAGTTGTCGGTCGGCCGCGCGATCCGAAGGTGGGCGGTGTGGAGGGACATGATGTAATGGATGGGTGGGTGGTCGGATAGTCTGAGTCTTTGGAAGGCTGGGGCGAGGATGAGGCGAGCAAGACGGTGCCTATTTGCTGCCTTTGGAATATCCTCTTAACTTATATGTTATACATTGGCTACGATACGGCCCTAGGCTTGAACGCGCAGTGTATCCAAGGCAGCTCGAGCGTGTATCCTGTTAGGGCACAAGTGGCTGAAAGACGGCGTCAGTCGGCGCCGTACCATCGTAGTAAGATGCATAACTCCGAGCTCGAAGCGAACGACAAGCTCCTAGAGCCCTGGCCGGGCAAATGATGAAGGGTAACTGCACTCTTGCTCCAAAACATGTCTAGGCGCCTTGACTTTACCAGGTGCTATTTTACCCACAACATGATAGTCTCATCGACCCCGACTGATACCTCGTCACTCAAGCAACAACGTGCATCGTCCCCAGCCCTGGAAAACCGTCACCATCGTCAAATCAAGAGGATGATTGTCTAATTTTCTCACTGCAGCGTCGATCGAGTGCAAGCATAACATTACGTACGCGTGAGCACATCACTTTCCTTTGCAGGACATGGTCAAGGAGGGGGGGCGAGATTGATCTACCCCAGATTTACCAAATACACACATCGAACCACCGTCGCGACTGACACCGGATGGGACCATCTCCATTCCATCACGGAGCGGCAATGGCGTCGAGTGACTTTTACAAGGACCAGCGGGACGTATGGAGACTGAACTTTTCTTATCTTCAAGCTGTGCAATTCGAGATGGAGAAGAAGAAAAAAAAACATTCTAGACCTAGAGTGAATAGAGACACACCCGTATAAGGCGGTCTGGCCGGGTACCCAATAGAGCCCCGCAGGCGGTAATTTGCTTCTCTTCATCCTCAGGTACATACGAGTAATGTCCAGGCACAGAGGCAGACTTTTGCGTGTAAGGGCACGAATGGTGCCGAGAATAATGCCCCAGAATGGGTCATTGCTGGTTTGACCTTGTTGTTGCTTTCCCTCTGCCGGGGGGTTTGGATGTTGTTGTCTTTCGCTCGTGCTGATCTGGTTTCACTGACTGACACCCGAGGGAAGTGAAAAGAGACTTTAGAGCCAAGCTTTTTTCTTCCCACCCTGCAAGCCCTCATCTTGCGTTTCTTCGGCATGCTGCTGTGCCCTGACCGAGCAGGGGGCCGCGGAGCAAGCCGACTTGTTCGTACTGAGACCGGTCCAACTCCCCAGCGAGCCGGCGGCATCGGGTATGGTATGCAATGCGATTACGGGGGGCATAAAGGAGATGTGCGGAGCTTTTTCCTCCCTTCCCAGGTTACACCGCAGGGGCAGAGGAAAGCAAAGAAAAAAAAAAGACGCAGATTTTTGCATCAACCGAGATGTCGATCCCGCCACTGCCAAATGGCGGAGCGTGCGTAGGAGGTGCCTGGCCGACTTCAGATGGATGGATTACATTGTGCGCGGCTAGATAACGGGCTTGGATTGGATGCACGGAGTACCCCGTCGTCATTATCACGGGTGCATCATTCTTAGCATGATCGAATAGCTTGGTTGGGTTCAAAGCGCTCCCTCTCTTCCCCTGGCGAGGTACTTGCCCAGCGGAGCAGAGAGTCGGTTGTTGCGGGTTTTGAGGCATTTCGACGAGGCCCCAGGGGAAAAAAAGAAGACGCGGCCCCATCGTCGGCGACTCCATCGTGCCTTTTTCCTGCAGTTTGACACACAGCGCACGCACATTGCACCCCTCACACGGCACGGGGGGGCGTTTGATGGAGATTGCCATGATCTTGGCCATTTTCTCCATGGCCCCTTGCTAGAACAAAACAAAAATCGAAAAAAAAAATTTTGCAGAGGCTGACAGCGGTCAGGCTGTAACGGTGCTACCCTAGAAGCCGCTCATGAGGGACGGATGGCTGGGCCAGGTCATCGCTCTCTGTTGCTGGATGCTCACTAACCTAGAAGACGAATTTCATGCTCGGCGGCCCAGGAGAGCCCCATTGCTGGGCTCAAGAAACGAGGCGAGAATGGGGAAGGATGAGTCGTGCAGCACCATACCGCTGAAGCATTTAATCTCAACAAGGCTCAATGCTCCTCATGTCGTGCTACAGAGGCTTTACAAAATACATAAAAAAAAACAGATATAATTTAAAGTATATGAAGATCAAGATGGTCAAGTGCTGATCTTTATGTGCTTCATTCCCCACGCTCGTCATCGCCGCTGCAATTGTGTAGCTTTGGAGCTCGTATGGAATCTGGATATAGCGTCAAGGCTACAAATATTGCCGTATCCGAGGCGGGAAAGGGTTGTATGCCCCCTGTCCCTGAAATACACAGGGCACAGCCTGCTCCGGGACAAAGGAGCAACACAAGGACAAAAAGGTTGGGTTGGGGTGCTTTCGCCCCGTATTAATACGGAGGCCAACATGCGAGGCCAGCTGAGAAGATTGAGGGGTCAGATAGGGCCGCAATTGTGATGCCTTGTATATATATATATTTTTTTCAAAGTGTCACAGGCCCAATAATTGATGCACTCGTCAGGGGAAGAGAGAGTCCAAAAGACCACCAAGACTGGGGTAGGTGGTAGTCTCAGCTGGATGGATTATCAACGAGGCCATCACCGCTACAAAAGACGCCACAGGGCGAGTTGATGGACGGCATGGCTACGGGAAAGCCGTCCCATAGGCCCGGGCCATCAGGGACGAACTTCCCCAAACTGGCGGCGGCTTCCTCTCTCGCCCGCAACAAATCCCTCCACGAAGTTTGGACCAGGATGAAAAAAACTTCAGGCATTGCAGCGCCGAGAGACAACGCCGTGTGGCCTGCGGAGAGCCGCCGTAAACAAGGACAACAAGGTGCGGCCGGACCCCGGTCTCAGAAGAGGCATTGGGAGGGGTGGTTTGATGGGTAAGGAGAAAGGAGAGGGATGCAGTGTACCCCGGCGCGTGGTGGCTGACCAAGATCTCATCACAACAGGCTACCCAATCACAGTGCTCACGCCGGCAACGCCCTATTGTTTCTATTAAAAGACGAAGGCTTCTCACTTTTACGGCATGAAAAATGCGGCCGAGGCGAGGTTGTCGGCTAAGGAAAGACGCCGGGTCACAAAGGCAGCCGCGGAACAATCCCGACTCTTCCTACTAACCTACCCAGCCGATAGTCGCCTTTTTTCCCTTTGTCTTCTTGCCTTGTTTGTTCTCTTCTTCCCGCAGCTATTGACTAGTTATCGGATACCGAGCACCGAGCGGAGCCCCGCCTCTCCGCCCGCCGCCTCCGTCCGTCTAGAAAGAGAGACAGAAAGAGGCCTCGAGTTATCGACAATGTACGAATTACTCCGTACGGATACGTGGGTCGGCTTTTGACCCTCTGCTTTTGACTTGCATCTCGAAACACAACAACCACCGGGGGGGGGGGGGGGAGGGGGGCTGCTCTGATCCTCCACTATGAGGCATTGCTATCCCGCAGTACCTTAAATCCTTAATATTAAGCGAAGGAGCCAAACCCCCTCCCTCTCACGAGTTAGCCTTGCCAAAAAGCCCGCGGGTCTCCGACTAACAAGGGCATGAGAACTCCGCGATGGGCCTTTGTTTGAGGGGAGGGCCGCGGCGATTTTAACGTATCAGCAACATAACATGGCGTCAACCGGCGGAACGGGGAGGACTGACGGAAAGACGCCATTGACCGTTGCTATTTCATAATAGCCGGCGGGGGTTCGGTTGATCAGCTGCTGTTGCATAGCTTGACTCAACTGAGCCGCCGCCGCCGCCGCCTATTCGAGTAATACAAGTCCACGTAATCTGTACCAGAAACCGGAATGAGATGCTGGTGGAGGGATGAGCTTGTTTGTTGCCCGCTGGGCGTTTGCGCTTCCTTGGCGTATGAGGCTTAGCATCGCGGGGGTGCTGGTTCTAGGAATCAGGTCGGTCAGGAACTGACCACCTGTCACCTCATTCTTGACTCGAGGGCCATCCCGCGAGCTTTCCGGGCTGGGCGCAGCGTTACTGAGAACAAAAGCCTGCACGACAACTCCGGCTTCCTTTACCGCGTGCTGCGTGCTGCGCGTTGCGTGTGGTGGTATGAAATTACTCGCGGAAAGTTGCATCAGGCTGCTGGGGTCTGCATACAATTGCCTTTTTTGGTCTGCCTACAAGACCGTTAGTTAGCATATTCATTAGCATCTTGCGACGGCATTTTGTTATGGGAAATGCCTTCTTTCATCCATCAACCATTTTTACGCTCGGTTGAGCCATTATCACAAGCCAACACCGACTATGCTCTTACCCTTTAGAGACATGATAACGAAACAATACAATATCGTCCAATGGCTCGGCCCTACCCCTTTGAGCTTTGAGCAGTGCATGCCCTTTGAGACTGTCCACATTCTTCGTAGTTGACGCTCCATCCGCCCCAGTCGCCGACTGGCACGATTAATGATGGTCCTTGCTTCGTCCAGGTTTCCAAGTTGCCGCCGTGTCTGGACATGACAAACTAGTGAAAGACACAAAGGGGTCGGACGGAAACGCCCCACGAACTGGCTTGGAAGATGAAGCGCTAGCTGCAAATCGAGCAAGTGCGTCGACAAAAGGCGTTTTCCCCCAGACGGCGGCGGCGGCGCTGCCACCCCCATCTCGCTCCGCAGTTGAACTTGTTTAGGAAGGCAAGTCGACGATGTTGACCTTTTTGTTGGTCAGAGAATCCGGTGATGCAAGCGCCGAAGCACGGAAGCACGCCTCAAGATTACGTTACAGTTTTTGGTGCCATTGTATCGTGCTGCATCTGGCATCTTACCAACAGGAGTAGCGCCACCATTACCCCGTAGAAAGGGACACTTGTCCGCAGGAGCCGAATAATCATGGACGGACGCTAATAAGAACGGGGCATTGATATGTCGGGGAGAGCGAACGCTGGCTTGGCCTGTTTGCTGCCTTTGTCCTGCGGCGAGCCAATTTCAAGCTGCATTGGCGTCGGCCCCTTTCGTTTGCGCAAAACAAAAAGCTTACGAATACAGGG